AGGCCGACTGTGAAGGGATCACTCCACGTTCACCAGACAGTGACTTCTATGCGTTCATTGTAGGTTAGTATTCAGTGTTTAAAAATGGCCAGAGTACCACAGAGAACCGTTAAAACGACTGAGCATCCAAAAGACACCACAAACTGAGTAAAACTGGGATTTAAGAAGAAAACTTGTCCTAATTGCTTCATTTTCAGGAAGATTTTGGATGACACCTCGGTCCTCATGGTCCAATTTGTTCTGTATATTCCTCGTCAGTGGTGGAAACTAACTACTGTACTTAAGTACAATTTTTAGGTACTTAACTTATGTAATTTTTCCTCGAGTATTTCCACTTTATACTTTTATCTGACAGATAACGTTACTAGTAAATTTTTAGATTAAAATTTAACATAAAAAACACACATGATAAGTTTCTACAAGCACAAACCAGCATTAAACCAGTGGTTGCATTTTTGGCTGGAGTCCCCTTATAAAAACGCAGTGTCTAGTTGGGGCTCCTTGTAATGTTTTAGATCTCTACGAAAAGAGACATTTCCCCTCTGAACGTTTCCAGTGCTTTAGTTTAAATGACTGAATACTTCTTTCCTCTCCTCTCAATTCTCTCTCGACACCTCAGATTTGTTATGTGACCCTTTGAAGGGTCCTGACCCTAATGTTGGGGAACCACTGGACTAGCCTACCTAAACTAAATGTATGTGCAGTTGTTAAAACCAGCTCCATCTTGAACAGCTACAACAGTAAAATGCTGCTTACACACCGATGCATCAGTATTAACAATCTAATAATGTCATATAGATAAATCAGTCACAAAGGACATTTTACAACATATCAAGTTATTTTGCTGATAATACTAATGTACTTTTTACTAAATAAATAATATCTTATTAAATGATATCTGCTCTGCTTTCCCACAGATGTCTACATTGACATATTAAAGTGCAAACTGAAGTGTGAGGAAAACTTGCAGCCTAATGTTGGTGGTTATTTTGTGGAAAGATTTGTGGCCACTATTTACCACTACCTCCAGTACGCCTATTATAGGAGTAAGTTTGCTGTCAGCTCGTCAGCAACTGAGCTTTGAATCACTGAATAATATTCCTTATCCTTATTCCTTAACACTATCTGATGGGGTTTTTTCTCTGATCAGTGAACGAGGGCTGCAGTGCGGTGCCCTGTGCACATAGCTACTTCCTGTTTGAACCTGAAGACCAGGTCATGAAGCAGAATCTGCTGTATTATGAAGCCTACCGTGAACAGTGGGGCCTTCAGCCTGACCACTTCACACCCAGGATGGTAAGAGGAGAACTATGTCCAGATATCACTAATGTCTCAACTATCTGTGGAAATACACTGTAAATACGGACACAGAAATACATAAATCAATACCAAAATACGTTTAAGCAAATATTCGGTTTTATGTGAAAAAAACTACTTTCAAAATAACAATCTGATTAACTACAGAGAATTTGTCCTTTTTTTGACAAAGGCCTTATCTGCCAGTTGCACCATCATAAAGGAACAACTGGCAATTTGATCTAATTGTTTATTATACGTACATGAAGGTTCCATCATTAATCATATTATTTGATTTGAGATAATGAATCTGTTCTTCTGATACTTTTGTCATGTCTTCATCTGTCTGTGTAAACAGGAAGCTCTCAAACACTTCAACCAGACTGTCGCTCAAAAGCAGATGCTGACATTTGCAGAGAGGTACTTAGAGTTGGATGATGAGGTGAGATTACAAAAAAAACTAGAACATCTAAACAACAATTGTAGTTTATTTAACAAGCATGTTAAGTTATTGTTAGTTAATGTTGGAATAAAAACAACTTAAATGGCCACGTTAAAAGAAATCCTTAAAAAATATAATTTCTATTTCCTTATGTAGCTAAAGCCTACTAAAAGTGTGACGTTTGTTTGCAATCTGTGTAAAACATTTATGGAAACCTTATCATCACAAATAACTGAAATTGTTGTTTTTTTAAGGATTTTCTAGGACCAGAGGAAGCTGCACTTTTGGCCTCAGAGTCTCCCGATGTTGAGTTTGAAGGGATGGGAGACTACGAAGAGTCAATCTACGCTGACTGGAGGCAGCCAAAGGGCAAAGGAGACTCTGGGGAGTCAAATATCTGAAGAGAGCTGAAAGTGAAATTGCTTTTACTAATACAGGTGTTGGTCATATAATTAGAATATCATCAAAAAGTTGATTTATTTCAGTAATTCCATTCAAAAAGTGAAACTTGGATATTATATTCATTCATTACACACAGACTGATATATTTCAAATGTTTATTTCATTCAATTGTGATGATTAAAACTGACAACTAATAGAAATCCCAAATTAAGTATCTCCGAAAATTAGAATATTACTTAAGACCAATACAAAAAAAGGATTTTTAGAAATGTTGGCCAACTGAAAAGTATGAACATGAAAAGTATGAGCATGTACAGCACTCAATACTTAATTGGGGCTCCTTTTGCCTGAATTACTGCAGCAATGCAGCATGGCATGGAGTCGATCAGTCTGTGACACTGCTCAGGTGTTATGAGAGCCCAGGTTGCTCTGATAGTGGCCTTCAGCTCTTCTGCATTGTTGGGTCTGGCGTATCGCATCTTCCTCTTTACAATACCCCATAGATTTTCTATAGGGTTAAGGTCAGCCGAGTTTGCTGGCCAATTAAGAACAGGGATACCATGGTCCTTAAACCAGGTACTGGTAGCTTTGGCACTGTGTGCAGGTGCCAAGTCCTGTTGGAAAATGAAATCTGCATCTCCATAAAGTTGGTCAGCAGCAGGAAGCATGAAGTGCTCTAAAACTTCCTGGTAGACGGCTGCGTTGACCTTGACCTCAGAAAACACAGTGGACCAACACCAGCAGATGACATGGCACCCCAAACCATCACTGACTGTGGAAACTTTACACTGGACTTCAAGCAACGTGGATTCTGTGCCTCTCCTCTCTTCCTCCAGACTCTGGGACCTTGATTTCCAAAGGAAATGCAAAATATACTTTCATCAGAGAACATAACTTTGGACCACTCTGCAGCAGTCCAGTCCTTTTTGTCTTTAGCCCAGGCGAGACGCTTCTGACGCTGTGTCTTGTTCAAGAGTGGCTTGACACAAGGAATGCGACAGCTGAAACCCATGTCTTGCATACGTCTGTGCGTGGTGGTTCTTGAAGCACTGACTCCAGCTGCAGTCCACTCTTTGTGAATCTCCCCCACATTTTTGAATGGGTTTTGTTTCACAATCCTCTCCAGGGTGCAGTTATCCCTATTGCTTGTACACTTTTTTCTACCACATCTTTTCCTTCCCTTCGCCTCTCTATTAATTTGCTTGGACACAGAGCTCTGTGAACAGCCAGCCTCTTTAGTAATGACCTTTTGTGTCTTGCCCTCCTTGTGCAAGGTGTCAATGGTCGTCTTATGGACAGCTGTCAAGTCAGCAGTCTCCCCATGATTGTGTAGCCTACAGAACTAGACTGAGAGACCATTTAAAGGCCTTTGCAGGTGTTTTGAGTTAATTAGCTGATTAGAGTGTGGCACCAGGTGTCTTCAATATTGAACCTTTTCACAATATTCTAATTTTCTGAGATACTGATTTTGTGGTTTTCATTAGTTCTCAGTCATAATAATTAAAATTAAAAGGAATGAACACTTGAAATATATCAGTCTGTGTGGAATGAATGTATACATTATACAAGTTTCACTTTTTGAATGGAATTAACTTAAATCAAATTTTTGATGATATTCTAATTATATGACCAGCACCTGTATGTCCATATATGGCCAAGTATACATTTAGTAGGTACTTGTAGTAACACATTTGTTTGTTTTGCACCTGTTGAGTGCATCAAATGTTGGACTGTACTGACTGAAAGAGAAATGTTGTCTCTTTCTCTCAGACCTGTATGTGAGAGACCAGTCCTCAACAAACCACCAAACTGTAGAAATATTACCGACTTCCAGCAAATATTTCAAAATATTTACAAATCAATAAAGTAGGAAGAACTACAAATCAGTTTCAAATTAACACTTCACCATCACTGCTATACTGCATATATATTATTATTATAGTATCATGGATTCCTAAGCATAGCTCTTTCAGATGTAAACATAATTTACTGAAATTTAATGAATAAAATTAGACTCTAATGTTGTTAATCCTGGGATACATTTACAATTGATGTTATCAATGTTTCATACCTGCAATAAACTAACATTTTTACAAATAATTTTCCTTATTGCTTCTTCTATACACGCACACACACACACACACACACTTTACCAAACCATTCTCAATACATACACTTTTCATATGGCATCGTGATTAAGTTTGATGTTATAACATCACCAGGTTAGTTATTACATTACAAAAGGATCATTTCAACATTAATTTTTGTAGTCATCTGTGACAAATATCATAATGAGTGCTAGTAATGTAAACAGGGAAATTATTCAAATGTTAATGAATTATGCAAACAGGATTGTTTTTCATCAGCAATCTTAATAGAAGATGTGCAAGATGCTAACAGGTGCTAATGGGCTGATGGCAATGTCATTCATTTTGCAGGAATTTGGTTATAAACCTAAGACTATAAAAGTATTTGGTTTGACAAATTATGACCTGTTGATGACACTAGATGAAAAGTTAGGAGATCACCAAAGTTATTCATCTGTGGACCATGAAATTATGTCTGTATAAAATTCATCCTAATCCATCCGATAGTTGTTGAGATATTTGAGTTTGGATTTAAGTGGTGGACTGACTGAGTCCGTCATTAAGACAATCAATCTACTGCAGGCAGGTGTTGTGACGTAACGAATCATTTCAAGGACAGCTACTACTGAAGAACAATGAATTTGTTAGCAAAATAGTTGAACAAGTATCAGAAAAAGAAAAGAACATCCTGCAGAACTACTGTCTTAAAACTGGATTACACACACACACACACACACACACACACACACAGGTCCAATTGAAAACACAGTCACTGTTATTCAGATATGTTTGTTTTAATATGTATTCTAATATACAGTAATACGAGTATTTACATAGAAAGCTAAAACTGTTACCGTCCGGTAGGACCAAACAATGTTGACTTCCATGTGTTAATGGTGCCAAAATCCTTTGATGAGTCCAACTACAATTTGTGATCAAAAACAGTGGCAGTAAACAAGGTGTGACCTGAGCTTTCAGCCAAGTCTGTCCTTGAGTATTAGATTTTATACGGTGCGTATACAGGATAAGGAGTTCAAGTATGATTAAAGGGATGCGATGACATTTAACAATGTAGTCTGTGCTGATAAACATTTGAACATTTGCACCTTTAACCTCACCTGCTGTTTCAAGTCAAACTAAAGTTAGCATCTTGTCTTCAAAAACCAAATTACTAACTGCAGTCATTAGGAACGTCATTGAGCGGTTTAGTCGATTAACTTAATTTTAGAGGCAGAGATCCTCACTAGATGGATTCCTGTGGCTCAAAATGTCAACACATTCCTTTAATGCTACTGTATCTTGACTGGCAGTGTAACTTGGATCATCTCTTCTGGCATGTGTGCTATAGCAGTACGTCATTGTTATTGGTGAAACGAAGCTTCCCAAGCAGTCTTTGTATATAATAACAACCACAGGAGGACATCTTCTAAACCTGATTTAAAAGGAGAGGGTGAAGCAAGTAGAAGCTGCCGAATTGGAGTCTCTTTGTAAAGGGAGAAAATTTTTGATACTTGTTGTGTTTGTTTTTCACCTTGAACAGACTTTTTTTTTTTCATATGTACATATTTATTGCTTATTATATGGATCTGTTCAGTCAGAATTAAATGATCTGAAGCCATTTAGAGATAAAGCATTTTTGAAATCTTTTTGCCATTTCTACTATTACCTCAGCCAAATTATAATTAGTGTGTATATGTTGAACTGAGGGAGAACCTGTGTTAAATATAAGCTTTGAAACCTGTGATCTAGTTCATCATTTTGCAGCTTGAAACTTGAAATTCTCTCAAGAGGCATGTACGAAACATACAATACTCACACATCATCTCTGTGGCCCAAATGATCAGGCAATTTGCCAACAAGAGGAGCTCAGACTTATCCTGAAAGGTACAAACTGTGAAGATTTCAATCCTCTCTTGCTAGTTAAACCTTCAAAATGAGCAGTTTTACGCTGAGAGGCAGGAAGAGTCTTCTCTCTCCAAACTTGTGCTTCCACTCAGAGCGGCAGTGAGTCACTGCTGTCTAAATGAGACATCCTTATGATACACTATATGTACATCAGCACCTATGTTCAGCATACGTGTATGCATATTGTTTGTACATGAATTACATATCATACAGCAGGATAAAACATTCAGTGTGTTCATGTGCTTGGCTGCAGGAAAGTACAAAGTACTTGGATGTCATCAGCACAGAAACACAACAAACTTCCTTGCACTCCTGAACTATACATTCGTACATTAAAGCATATTATGTTGAAGCGTTGATTGACAATGGATTACTGTTTGATAATGAAATGCAGCTTACAAGGAGAAAGCATGGCTATAACTGTGGAATGTAAAGGCCAAGCAGACAAAAATAATCCTCATCCAGACAGATGAAACATTCACTATTTGGTGATATTTATACACTTCTATTGCAGTCACACCACTAAAAGGAGGTGGTTGTGTTCTCCACGAGGTTAAATATGTGTATTAACAGAAGCCTTCCCCCAAATAAGTCCAGATGAGGAGAAGTACATGGCCTCCTTCTATGAAATCACAAGCAGAGTAACAGTCGATATGGCAGAAGAACAGCTGTAACCAGTGGAAGGGAAAAGAAACCTGGAAAGGTTGAGTGAACACACTTGAGTTAAGGGCCTGTGTGTGTGTCTGTCTGTCTGTCTGTCTGTGTCTGTCTGTCTGTCTGTCTGTGTCTCTGTGTCTCTGTGTCTGTCTGTCTGTCTGTCTGTGTCTGTCTGTCTCTGTCTGTCTGTCTGTCTGTCTGTCTGTGTCTGTGTGTGTCTGTGTGTGTCTGTCTGTCATCTACTTGGACATTTGAAATCAGGTGATCCCTGACAGCCAGTCAGATCTGGTGAGAACGTCTCCTCAGGGCTTCCAAACCAATAAGAAGTAATGATTCGACTTTCCAGGAGGAGAATACCAATAAAAATCAGAGAAGAAAAGAGGAAAGGTCTGAGGGCTCGTAAGTGGAAGACATCTTTGTTTTGTCTCCTCAGAACAGACTGGACACACAGTGTTAAGGTAGACAGGACAGCGAAGAGATACGACTCAGACACCCGAAGATCTGAAAAGAGAAGAGCAATGAAGTGTAGAAAGAAGATGAGAAGATAAGGAAGGGAGGAAAGAGAGGTGGGGTGGGGGAAGAGAAAAACACTGAGGAATCAGATAGAATCAACAAGCTGAATTAAAACGAGGATGATTATTTTCATCATCTTCAATTAATCGATTGTTTGGACTATAAAACATCAGGTAACAGTTTCCCATCACTGTTTCCTAGAGCCCATTATAAATCGATTAATTGACTAATTGCTGTAATGCAAATGGATCATAAAAGAATAAGAAAAATAACCTCAAACTAAAAATTAAAAGAAGGCTTCACCTTTTATTATTTAAAGTCTTACGAAATGAACATTACAAAGTCGATACTGCAGATTTTAGAAATGGCAGCCAAGTTTGTGAGGGGACATACAGTACAAATAATAATGAAGCAAACTAGGATTACAGATTATAGACATTTATGTTTCCTAATACTGTCCATAGAAATACAATTATAATTGCGTTGAATGACATTTTGTGTATTTTAAAAGGCCCATCTATGGAAAGGAATTGCAAACTAGCATAAGCTATATAAATGCTGCGGTATGTGGCATTGGTTCATGCTATATACTTGTGCCTATACAAATAAATACAAGATACAAAATGTGTGAAAGATGAAAAATAAGGCCGTAGAAGCAGTTGACTGTTATGTGTGTGTGAGCTTAGAGATATGATGATAGGTGCTCAGAGAGGATTCTTATAAAACACATGGCATTATGTTGACATAACGAACGGCTGATTCAAGACTCTGATAATGTTTTGGTGTTGGGATCAGGACTGAAAGGTGGGATCGTACCTTCCTCTTCGGATGTTTCTGGATTCGCAGTGAGGCAGGAACAAGATGGAGGAAAAAAAAAAAAAAAAGACAGAACAAGTGAAGTAGAACGACAGGTAAGACTATCAAACTGGGGTTTCATGTGAGCAAGAAGCGATGTGGAAAAAGGAACATGCAAATAACCCAAGGCCTTAAAAATGAAGCATTAAACAGGCATCTGAAACTTGCATCTTTATCTTTTGTTATTAGGAAAATAAACTCTTCTACAGAGAAGCTTGTAGCTATAGTGTCTATCAAGGCAGATTTGGGCAGATTTTGTACAAGATACAGTTATGAGATTAAAGCAAAAGATTACAGTCTGAGACAAGCATTTTCGTTTGTTTTGCATCCTGCAGGCATACCGCAACAAAGTTAACTTGAGGCAAGACGGCATTGTAGCATGTGAACAAAAACTACAGAAAGAAGACCCGGAGTCAAATACAGCCATGAGTAGAGGAACATGGAAAAAGCTTGTTGATACATTTTTGGATTTTTGATCGTTCACTGCATTCAAACATTAGTGTCAAATTTGAAAGAGTACTCCATTGATTTAGCATTGCACTCCAAACTCTGTCAGACTCACGAGGGATGGATTCTAAATTAATATATTTTGTTTACAGATTCAGATGCGTTATGCCAGTAGTGGCCAATGTAGCCTCAAGCCTCAATGAGAAATAAGAAGTGGCCTACAGAGGTCTACAGATTTTTATTAATTTTTAAACCCAACTGACTGAAGCATATCACTTGTGGCAATTTATCAGATTTGGTGCAGATCCCTCTGGAGCTACAAAAGACTTTATACAACTGTTTTTTGCACATGCAGTAGCACTCCAAGAGAAGTGCAAACAGACTTTGAGGTCTGAAATCAGTTTAAAGAGTTCCTCTTTAAAGAACTCACAGGATACAAACTTCTTTACACAAGGAATGTGGTTGATTATAGTTTTTTTTGCCTCAGTGAAAAACTGAGTCTATTAAATTTCCAAACATAGTGAGGAAGACTATTCTCAATTTCCCAGAGACCAATGAAACATCTGTCCAAAACCCAAAGTTATTGGCATTTTTGTTGTTGTGAAAAATTACATAAAAAGGGCTGCTACTACTGATTATTTTCATCTACTGGTTATTTTCTTGATTAATCATTTAGTCCATAAAATGCCAGCAAATAGTAAAAAATGCCCACTGCAAGTCCCCAAACCTTTGTGATGGACGTCACATTTTCAGATCTGTCTGACAGTCCCAAACTCAAAGATATATAGTTTACTATCATAGAAGACAATATGAATATTTAATGTAAGAAGTTTTGGCTAACTGTTGCAGCACTAGTTCAGTGTTTAGCTCTTTACAAATTATACACATTTAGCATCTACAGCCTACTAAACAAAGTGCTACCGTTTTATATTTACCGTTGCATATTACAAAGTGGTGACACTCCTGCCAGTAATCTCATGCCATGATGTAGATTTCATCAAATCTCCTACCATACTTAAAAGGTCTAATGAGGGTTTGTAAATACCACCATTCATGCTACCTTCTTCTAACAAACCCTGCAGGAGCAAAATCATCTACCGCACGTTCACCAGCTTGAATAATAATAATAATAAACCCCACATGGTCTCTGGTTGTGAGTATGCATCAGACAGCAAGCAGAGGAGCATTCAGCAGCTAGCCGCAGGCATGTGTCTTAGCTGACAGAGGAACACAGCAGGCACACACAGATGGAGGCATGCCAGAGCTCTTACTTAAATCCCCAGCCAGTTCCCCCCAGGACTATCGCTGCCACCAGAATTGCACCAGCAACCGAACCTATTATGATATTGGTACCACTGGGACCTGTGGGAGTGAAGTAGTCAGCCAGTGAGCGTAGGGGGAGAGCAGTGGGTGTATTTTAGCTTGTAGTGAGATACTGTAGTTATCCGTGAACATATCAACATATTTTCTGTCTCAGCAGGTTATTTCACAGAGGTGAGAAGCCACTGGAAGGAATATGTGGAGGCAAACTGCTCAGTGCGGTTACCTCTGTGTTTCTCTGGGCCCTCTGGCGGGGTGGGGATGGGAATGGGGTCAAACACACTACAGTCTGTCCCAGTGTAGTCTGGATCGCAGATACACTTCACCTCGTTACTGCAAGTCTGCGGGATGGAGCAATACCCTAAATGTTTTTTTTTCTCCACCAGTTATACTTTCATATTGTAGCGCCATCAAGCTCCACCAAACAAACAAATAATGAAATCTTGAGGTGGGACTAGACAACTCACTCCGTGGTGGGAGCAGATTCGTGAGGACGAGGAGCCCGGGCAGGTGCTGAGGTTGAATGTGGTGACAGGGAGGCACCGACGCTCCAAACACATCATGTTTGGACCACATGGCGTCCCATCCTCCACGTAGCCCAGATCCAAGCCGTCATCCAGCACTGCATGGCCACCCCTGCAGGTCATATGGTCACATTAAAACATGGTTATTCTGCTTCCTGGGGATTATCTCAACTCTAAAATGCAACTAGAACCCGACATTAACTTTTATTTATTTCCACTTTCTATATTTTGACAGATGTTAAATACAGATCAATTCCTCAGCTCATTAATGTATGCCATATATCTTTCTCTCACATAATCTTGTATACATCTAAATATGCTGATGGCACCATAAAACTCAAGGTAAACTGCTTCATTCAAGTACTGTGAATAAAGTCTTTATTATAGTGGCTACATTTTCAAAAACAAAACATTAAGTAGCATATTCGCTGCATGCTCATGTTTAGTTTGAAGAGTTAGAGTTAGAGCAGACTGTTGTTCGGACGATATGTCTTGGTGTTGTTTTTATTTCTGTTGTCACTATAATATGGGTGTTTTTCCTGTGGAAGATAAAAAGGTGCTCTGGGGAGTTATTTTTACATTCGGTGTTACTCACCAAATGTGTCGAGTGCGTTTGCTTACTCGTAGAACAGTTGCAAAACAAATTTTTACATATGCGTCCTCATGCCCATGATAAACAAAACAGGGACCCACTCATAGAAAAAACAGGTCCAAAGCGCCACTAGAAGTCAAAAACTCCACAGGGAACCTTGAGTTTTTGTGGAATTCATTCCCTTTACTTGTGGACATTGTGGCATTAGGAGCGCCTGCTATCTGTTCGGTTCAAGTATTGATTATCCTTCCTACATTGGTGCTTTCTCTAAGTTTGATACCATTTTTCTCCCATCAACCTTAGACTGGAAGGACTCATATATGTCCTTCTCATATACACAAGCAAACATATACTCGTATATGTTGTTTGTGTGTTTGACCACCAAAAAAAAAAAAATACAAAAATGCAGAAATTGAAAATTCTGCCATGTCTTGTGCATGTAGTGAACCCAACTTTTGATTATGCATCTCTCTCTCTGTATTTATTAATTGTTCAGTTGTGGTCCAAACCCATCAAGCTGCCAGAGAGAAAAGCTGTCTCACCTGCAGTCCATGTATCTGTTCTGATGGTGGATTGTCAGACTGGTGAGCTTCCCCTGTAGTTCGCCAAAACTCGGTCTAGCTGTCAGATTGGTGCACAGAAGCAAACCACACAGAACGTCCCTGAAGGACACGAGGGAGGAAAATAAGAAAACAATTTAAGAATAACAAAACAAGTCAGACTTATATGAGATTTTATAACACAAACAGTGGAGTGTGAATTCAGGTTTTCTCTGCAGCATCCTCCATTGAGTTAGTTTTTCGATTAAAATTGTGTGTATATGCGCTATCAACATGTATTTTATGAGGCCATGCTGTTCACTCACTGCTTGTTGCACTGCACCCATCCCTGACCACTGGAGTCCGGGCCACAGTTTCCTTTCTCTGTGCCCTCAGAGTTCAGCTTTTCATAGCAGAACCTGTCAGCTGAGTCTGAGAAGACAGAACAGAGTATTTCACTTAATGCATTCAACCCACGGCTTTGCTTTAATCCTTACAAAGCTATTTTCAGAAAATATAAAACATTCAGTGGATGACTTTGGCTTTCACTATGCAAGTTATTAAGTATACCAAATGGCATACTAAAAAAAATCCTATTTTAACCATCAGAGCGCCATGCGACATGGAGAAATAAAGCTCAATATCCAATCCAAACCTACTGTAGCCCCACAGAGTCCTGCACTGGCCATCTCTGGTCTTACACCGACCTCCATAACAACGGCCCTGAGGAAGAGGAGAAGAGGAGGAGGGTGGAAAAAATGGTGAAGAGAGGACAAACAGAAAGAGACATGTTTTATTAAATGCAACAAGAGAAGCAGTAACAAATATTTATCAAGCAGCCTGACTTTACCTGTCCAGCATCACACATGTAGCCATCCAGTTTGTGGACATTATGAGGACACTGCAAAAGAGAGAGAACATTATCTGTCCATTGGGTTTCAAGTGTCTGAATTCCTTTTTAAGCGTCTTGATGAATGTACAGATTTGTCGGGGCTTCTTTTACCTGGCTGGAGTCTCCTGTGCAGGTCTCAGGAATGTCACAGTCGTTAACGGCGTCGCGGCACGTTGCCCCTCTCAGTTCGTACTGTCAAAAAACAACCATGGAAGGAGACGGAAAACAGAGTGAGACGAAGAAAGCAGGCGGCGAAAGAGAAGCAAGTAAGCAAGAGGGAGTAAAAGAGAACGTCAGGGCTGTAATAAACAGTGACGAAGCATCCAGTTAAAGTGTGTATAAAAGCAGCTCACCTTGCAGTCCCTGCAGCAGAGCCCGTTGCTGCACATGGCATTGTGGGTAAGAGTACACTTCTTACAGCAGTTGGCTCCACTCCGTGCACACTCCTGTGGGTCAGAGATTGTTTACAGTACATCTGTAGTTCATTAGTGTCAACGTGTTTTGCCTCAAGGCTTTCATGACATCCTGAAGTCACATCACTGACTACACTTCATGCAGCATCTGACACAATGTGAGGAAGTCCTGCGCTATATATAGTACCCAGTAGAGTTCCCAGTTTAGCTTGTTTACTAATTTAAAAGTGTTTCCTATAAGCCAAAATGTATTTTTAATATAAACTGATAATATCTGCAGTTCCATTTGAATTGAAATGTTCTGGACAGATGGGTGAATATGTGACGGGTCCTTTTCATGCCACCTTTCACACTTTGCATATTGTGCGCAGCCTGCTGACAGGATGACAAACATTTTATGCAAAGCCGGTCGTTACTTTAAGTCTTTTCCAACCACGCTTACGGCTGAATGGGTGATTCCTTAAACTCGCTGCAAGCTGCAAGAAATTAGTTTACTGAAATGTACTCACCACTAGTGACCCACAGTCACATTCCTCTCCCAGCTCCACAAATCCATTCCCACACTCTGGTGGGTCTAACAACTAGAGGAAAAAGAAAATATGTAAGGTAACTATAGAGTCCAAGGCCCAATCCCAAAGTCCACTCTCACAGACTCAGACTTTGAAGCAAGTTCTCGGGAAGTCCGTGAGGGCTTAAGGGCTGTCCCGCTGTCAAATCGCCAAGTGTACAAGGGCTCTCTCGCGGACATTTTGAGCCCTTTTTAGACACTTTCGTAATTCTGAATTTCTGCAGACTTTGCCTGAGGGAATTGTCCACAGTTCATAGCGGTATGACGTGAAACACAGGGGTTACACCAAGGGAAGCCCAGAAGCGAGAGAAAAATCCTTGCAAATCCACGTTATAAGAGAAGAAGAAAAATGGTAAACAAACAAGCATCGATGCCAACGCTGATGTTAACATTGTTAGAATTGACATAAAACACATGAAATCGGAGGAAAGCAACCACCTTATTACACACTTAGTTTATTCAACTATTTATTTTAGTTTTTGCTTAATGATGCTGTTTTGACCAACAATAGTGTATTGATTATTGACAAATATATATTGACATTTACCTCTCCTCCACTCTGTAGGGCAAGAGCCTGCAGGACTTAAAAATCAGGCAAAAACATAAAATAAAAAAAGCGTGCAACGTTTTTTCAGCATCGTCAAGGTAACGTAATAAAGTGTCAAAGTGCTGTCCCATTCCCGTTTACAGCATTTTGAGCCCTTGCAGCCTCTTGCACTCAATCACTTTCCAAGTGACGTCAGTAAAGTCTGTGAAGGTTCAGGGCTCAGGGCTAACTCATTTAAAACAATTGAAATTTGGTATTTATACACAGACAATGTCTCTGTTATTCAGGAGATTGTTTTTGACTTTGAAATACCTGTAGGTATGCATTCAAAACTGAAAAGGTCTCTACAGTAAGTAGATTTTCTTTGATTGTTTATCATGTAATAATAAAAAAGTTACGAGTGAACGAGTATCTCTCACCTTGGTGGGCTTGTTGAAGAGACAGCTGCCTCCTCCCTGTTGGAGGAAGCGCAGGTACTCATCTATACTGCAGCGAGAGAACTTCCTGGGCAGGTAGTAACTAAGACAAAAACAAAACACAACACAGAAATCACTCACTGCCACATTTGCTTAGAGAGTTTGCATTGCTCAAAAGTTGCTTTAAAAATTAAGAATAAAATATGATAATCCGTGAACCCAAACTGTTAATAATTTGCCCAAATAAAGAGGAGGACTTTCAAAAACCACATTTTATACATTATTACTTCGTAGACCGCTGGCTGGATAGGAATATGTCCATCTGCGTGTCCACAGATTCCTGTTTTAGTTGAGAATGTCCTAGTTTTAACATATTCCAGGTCACTAATAAATTTATTGTACATTAAGTGCATACCCAGTATCCTCCATGATACAGCCCAGCCATGGGTCTGGACACCTGCAGTCTTCTTAACACACACATACACAAACACATACAAAACATTTCTGTGGTCAAGAACAGGCTATGATGTGACTGTGCACAGCAAAACATTTTTGAGCAACTTTTTAAAACTCTGCTGTGCACTGCTGCGTCCTCACCACCAGAGGGAGCTGTTAGTGTGGCAGAGGAGTTCTCAGTGAAAAATCAAGTCAGTGTTGTATAAATGGTTTACACTACTTTAGTTTGAAAAAGTCATTTTCAAAGGGACATTTTAATAGGACATAACATTTTGAATTTAATCTGAGACAACTTTGCAGAAATAACCAAATATTGCAGTAAGGAATCATTAAAAGAATAAAACAAAACTATAAGTATGAACAGTGGACAACAGTTTTTAAAGTAAAAAGCTTTTTTTGTATGACAAATTGCCTTTTTAGCTACACCTCTACGTTTCTGAATCATGACACAAGCGATTGTCCTTCCACGAATCTTGAAGCTCTCCAACCAGTGTATGTTCGTCTTACCTGCAGCCGGTCGCTCTTTGTTCCTCAGCATGCCAATGTTCTGGCCAAGACTCTGACACAACGTGATGGCCATGGGGCCCACACTGCCAAACTGAAGACACACACATAATCCAGTTAACGACAACAACTGCCTTGAATTACACACTCCTGAGAACAATTAATTTTCAATAACTACACAATTTTTATGAAGCTCATGGAAAAACATCCCCGATTTGTAGCCGGTCTCTCTGATTTAAACAGTGTGAGAGACACAAGTCTCACCTCATTGATGCCTCCACCCCTGGTGAGTGAGCAGATGCCCCCAATGTAGGCTGCCTCGCTGCGGCTGCTCATGAACGTCCTCCCACTGTAAAGACAGGGGGACTGTTACTATAACAGCCGTGAAGTAGAAGAAGAAGAAGCAGAAGAAGAAGGCAGTGGTGGTGAAGGAGAAGGTGAAGAAGCAGAAGAAGAAGGCAGTGGTGGTGAAGGAGAAGGTGAAGAAGCAGAAGAAGGAGAAGGAGAAGGAGGAGGAGGAGGGAATGTGGACGAGGTGGATGACGAGGAAGAGAAGGAAGAGCAGAAGGAGAAGGAGAAAGAGGAGGAGGAAAAGGAAGACGACAAGAAAGGAGGATGAAAAGATGGGAGAGGTAAAGGAGGAGGAGGAAGACAAGAGGAAGAAGGGGAATGTGGAACAAGAGAAGGAGAAGAAGTAAAGGAGGAGGAAGAGGAGAAAAAGATGAAAGAAGAGGAGGAGAAGATGGAAGAGCAATAGGTAAAAGGTGAAGGAGGTGAAGGAGGAGAAACATCCGATTTGTATCCGGTCTCTCTGATTTATACAGTGTGAGGAAGAAGAGGAGGAGAAGGAAAAAGCAGGGGGAGGAGGAAAATGCAAGTAGCACCAAGTTAAATCAGGAGGTTGCACCCACGAGAAGAGGTGAGCAGCGTCGCAGCGTTCCTTGATGCTCTCCTTCCTGTACTTCATGAAGTCGCGCAGGGTGAGCAAGGCGTCATCGCCCACGGAGACCCTGTTTTCAGCAGACCAGGTTTCCATGGCCACCAAGACGATGCGAGTGTTGAGCTGCTCCTTGTAGATCTGGATTCATCAAAAGGAAATCCCGAGCAAGGGTTACGCTACAGAAAATTCATCTTCTATCCTGTTGCCTGGTATTTGCCAATAAACAAGATCCAGGACTGCAGGTTAAACATGCGACCAACAAGTGAATGTAATAAAGATCCGAAAGTCCAGATCAATGAAAATCTGAATGTCTGCTTGGAGAATAATGGTACTCTGAATGGCCTCAAAACGGCTGTAAAATCAAAGAGAAATTCAGGGATAAAATTCTCCAGATGACGCACAGTTTTTGATTTAGGTCCGTTTCTACATGGGAACAGAGTAAGAATAATCTACAAAAAGTGTTTTCTGTTTGTGGGAAAAATTCAGATCTTAAGGGATGGTTGCAACAGTCTTCTTCTAAAGGACAGGGGAGCTGAGATGAGAGGACTCTCATCTGTTTAACTTATGATTTATGTGGAATAATGACAAAGAAAACTGCATCCTTTTAGAAGAACACAACCTCCAAATCCCCAGGTGGGGATTTAGAGGAGGAGAAGAGAGAGGTGGAACTCCAGACACATTACCATCAAGGATAATTTGAAAAAAATGTTGGAGATAATGGAGACCGTTGCATCAGTCTACTTTAGATGTGGAGTGGGAGAGGGAAGACAGCAGTGCCATGGAAACCAGCATCACTGTATGTCCCCAGTCAGTGAAGGGCTTCCCATTCTGATGCCACACTCGTGGGACACGAGCACACTGATTTGCACTTCATTTGGCTGTTTTGAAAGGTAACCACATCCGATCATACATTCACAAAAAGGTCACTTAATTAATTTATTCATTCATTCATACAATCATACATACATACATACATACATACATACAGTACAAACTGGCTCTAACCAGCATCATTAAATAGTACCGGGAAAACACCAGTTTCAACGTCAACAATGAAAAGGCGATTCCGGGACGCTGGCCTTCTAGGCAGAGCTGCAGAGAAACCATTTAATGATGCTGACAGTTGAGGACCTGTAAGGCGTCTATTTCTCAAACTAGACCCTCCTTTGTATTTGTCCGTTTTGCTCAGTTGTGCACCGGGGCCTCCCACTCCTTTTTCTGTTCTGGTTGGAGCCAGTTTGCGCTGTTCTGTACAGGGAGTAGCTTTGTCTGAGATCTTGTGTTTCTTTGCAATTTCTCATATGGAATAGCCTTCATTTCTCAGAACAAGAACAGACTGACGAGTTTCAGAAGAAAGTTTTTTGTTTCTGACCATTAATGATCTTCAACTAGTCTAAAGAAGGCTAGTTATATTGCTTCTTTAATCAGCACAGCAACAGTTTTTATTCTGCGCTACCATTTACATTTATTAATTTAGCTGACGCTTTTATCCAAAGCGACTTACTTAATTGCTATACATGTCAGAGGTCGCACGCCTCTGGAGCAACTAGGGTTAAGTGTCTTGCTCAGGGACACAATGGGAACAGTGGGAGTTGAACCCAGGTCTCCCACACCAAAGGCAAGCAAAAGGGGTTTCTAATCATAAATTAGCTTTTTAAAATGATAAACTTGGATTAGCAAACACAACGTGCCATTAGAACACAGGGCTGATGGTTGCTGATAACGGGCCTCAGTACACCTCTGTAGATATTCCATTACAAATCAACCGTGTCATTTATAACATTAACATGTCCACACTGTGTTTCTGATCAATCTGATGTTAAATTAATGAACAAAAATCATCCAAATTAAAAGCCCCATGATGAGGATACAAGAGATAATAGCAAATATTTACAATTTTATCAGTCAGAGTCACTGGACCTAACAGAAATTCTGATACACAGAACAATACAGTCTGAGACCAACCCTGAGATGGTTAAAAAATAATATCAGACTGTAAAACAGCTTTTATGAATAAGGGATGGCAGCTGTCCCACTCAGGAAAGTTTCATCTGCAGGGAAAAGCTCTGAAATGTGGCAATTGTCCTGAGTAATCTCAAGAGACTTCCTACAATAGATCCTCTATGAAGGGGTGCCATGGCTAAATAAAATACATCATAGGAAGAGGAGGGCTCATCGTCAACTCCTCAACAATATTTCCACTCACCGCATCGGCCATGTTAACCACCGCTTTGGCAAAGTTCTTGGTCTGAGTGGTCGACCGACGGAGCTGCACGAACTGCCAAGAGGAGAAAAATACTGCGTTAGAGCCTTTCATCTTTCTTCCTGTGCTGATTAGAAAGTCTTATCAACAGAGCACCAACATATTAAATCCTCATTTTAATGAGAGTCACGCTCACATCTTCTTATTGCCTTCGTGCAGCAGTTACAGATTTGAAGTCCAAGAAAACACATCAGTGCTTTCACACTTACCAGTTCGTGGTCGTTTACCACCATCAGCTCGATGTACTTGGTCTCAGTCTGGACGGTGCGCTGGCCTCGCCGCACCTGGAGGGGAAAAAAAAACAACAACAAATAAAACCCACACAGCCCGACGTTTCAGTCCACTGTCATAACCACCTTCACACAGGACAAACAGACGCACACAAACTCAGCAGGTGAAACCATTACTCACACTGAGCGCACACACATGCTGATACTGGCGAAACTCTAGTCTTTGTCCTTGAGAGGGCAACTTGGACAGCAACACTCTTTCATTCATTAAGCAGAAAATGCGCTCGGCATCCGAAAAGAAGAATTGCAGCAACTGTGTCCGATTACTTCAGGAGCAAGAAAAAAAAAAACCCTACTAAAGACTCTGAAAAGTTGCCTTTTTCTTGGTAAAATATTCATGACTAAATAAATGACAGTCCAAGCTTAAAAGCGAATATCTTTAGTAATAAAAATATTATTTAGTAAGATTTTAACACTAAAAAAAGGAGAGCAATTCTGCTTAATCAGTACTGTGTAGTAATAATTTGATCTCATTAAACTGATCTGGGGAAATACGCAAACAACCCAAAAACTGTCATGACATTTTGATTTAAATGTTGCAAAATTCTGATACGTGACATTAACCTTTTTCAGCTGAGCCCTGCCTATTTAAAATCAGTGAGAAGAGTGCAGACATAAACAGAAATATCTCAGTTGAAAGCAGCTTTATATTTTAGTAAACATTGACATAGGCTTACCTAAAAACCAAACTGTCAAAACTGATGCAGCAGAGGCAGAGCATTTCTGTCATTAGACCAAAAATGGCTGAAACTTCACACTTTGTGCTTATGATGCAGACTTTCCATTAGAAATGTCTCTTCCAAGTCCAATACAAACTTAATCAAGTGGCCTCACTCGAGTAATTTTTACTTATCGTGGGATTCTATTTTTATTAGCATCAAAGCTGAGATAAGCTATCAGCATGTGTGTACATTTGGCATCATATAACAGACTTCCCCGTAAAATAGTATTCGTGTTTGCATATCTTAACTCTGATGTTGCCCTCATGGTGACACTTGCAGCAACCCATGTGACATGTTGCTGGCCAGGCCATCTGTGAGCGTACATGGAGGTGTGTGTTGAGAAAGAAAGAGACTCAGAGACGGTCTGAAACACTGACTTGTCTTTTTGAGCGCCTCAGGCCTTCTGTAAAGACGGTCTTCTCCTGGTCAGACCAGTCGTCTCCATCCTTCAGCTCGCCGTCTCCACCACTGTGGACGTCTGTCTGCCCCTCGGGCTCTGTGCTGTTCACGGTGCATCCTGGGAAAAACACACACACACACACACACACACACGCAGAGTAAGGAAGAGAGAAAAGTGGCTAGTCATCAGGCCAGGGATGGATGTAACCATGTATTTTAGTCCACTGATCTGTAGGAGAAATCAATATTGCACAGAGTATAACTGGCCAAATGGGAAGGGAGAGAGGGCTGAGGAGGGAGGGAGGGAGGGAGGAACGGCAGGGGTTGGATAACAGGGGGGTGGGGTGAGGGGGTAGTCCAGAGAGGCAGACAAGTGTTAGGACAAAGAGGAGAGGCGGAGAAGAGGCAGCCAAATGAGACATTTAGCAAGGGCAAGGAGGACAGCGGGACAACTTGAGGAGGACACTGTACACTGCAGTGTGTGTGTGTGTGAGAGAGAAAAAAGCAGCCAAAAAGCTGACTTGCATTACAGAACATTTGATTGTTTTAGATCATCCAATGTCAAGGACGAGGCTGAACATGTAGTCTGCAAACAAGTAACGGCAAGCAGCCTCTGGGTTTATCAGGGACAAACTGCATCCTACCGGGTTTCACTAAACTAGGTTTCAACTACAGCACCCACAAACAGGCTATTAATCGCATCTTTTAACAGCAAAACACAGGCCAAATATGTATCACATCACAAAATTTAATCTAAATCAAGTTTGAGATGTCATAAAAGTAAATAACTTGTATTATAGCTGGATTTCTGCAGCAGGTATTGTGTCACTAGACTTAGGATTTAGAAATTAGAGGGCAGACCAGAGATTCTGTGTCCATCAAACTTTTATCATCACACCAGAAGGCCTGAAATGCTTTCTGTTCTGTGGAAAGTAACTGCGAGGGGTTTCTGTGTAAGCTGATGGTCCTACCTGGACAGGGAGGTGGAAAGAGGTCGATGTCCGGCATGCGATACACAATGTGGTCATTCTGCTCCTGAGAGGCGTCAAGAAAAACCATAACAAGGAGTGAGAGACAAAGAGAGAGAGGCGGGACAGTTAAGTCTATTTTTTTCCTCAGAACAACTCAAGGCAACTTTAATTTCCTGAATAGTCTTATTTTCCTGAAGATTTTAACTATTAAGGGTTCACACAAGAGACAGTTTTGGGTTCATTGTTCACGTCTGCCTGAGCAGGAATGAGAATTCCAGACATGAAAATATTAAATTTAAGTACAACTTCACCTCGAGTCAAAAGCAATCCCTACTCAGACCAAAGCAGACAGGGAATCACATCACTATGTCTCTTTGCATTCTCTTTTTTTCTGCAGTGATTTTTAATGGCAGAAAAATAACTACAGCGGATCCACAGGAGAGCCAGATATTGTTGTTCACTATTCCAGGCAGGAGAAGTGAAAAAGTTACATAGGTCAAACAAACAATCTAAATCAAATCAATCAATTTAAACACAAAATAATCTCTATAATAAACAAATGTGGAATAAAAGTTACACTAAAGTAAAATTTCACCTTCATGGCAGACAGCAGCAAGATGAGGTCTGAAGGAAATTTGACATTGCCCTTTAAAGTGCATCAGGCTTTGACCACTCAACCGTGAACATATAGAACAAATCATGGTTATAATCTTAGATTAAATTGCACAAAATGCAGCTCTATATGAGTGATGACACCCCCCTCATGATTTCCAAATGATGCAGCCATCAAATGACAACTTCTCATCCTCAAATTTACTCCACAGCTTTTCTGTGTGAAAAAGTGCTGCCGTGTCCTCTGAGGTAGAGATGAATCAGCGGGAAGGAAAGTGCTCCAATGCATTATTAATCAATCAGTGGGCTGTCATAATGGCAATAACACTGCTAGACACTGTGGTACACTTGAGCTGGGGATAAATACTTTATGAATATGACCCATTTGAGATGGATAGCTGAGGAGAGGGAAGAAGAGTGAGGGAGCTTTAAGAGGAGCAGGGAGGCCATTGATCCATCTCTCCAGTCTATGTAATTGAGCTGTACTTCGATTACTGTGGGCCTTAATGGGGAAAAAAGCTCAGCATCTTCCACACTAAACACTTTCACCCACTCCATTCGGCCAATCTGTTATATGTTTACTTCTTTTTAATATTAGATCTATTCTAAAATCAAATCAAAGTATTTTTGTAATATCTAAAAGGCCTCTTAAACATTTTGTTATTTTATATTTCTTCTCTCTCCCTCCTGTCTCACTTTGATATGAGAGAGGAGAAATGTGGCAGTGGTGGTGGATTGTGTATCAACTCAATACTTTTCATACAGTAACTTAGAGATAGAGTACCACCGTCTGGACTAAAGGTATTGTGTGATATGGAGACAGAAAGAGACAGTGAGACTGTGGACTCACTGTAAAGATTTCAACATATTTTGAACGTTTGTTGCCAGTTTTGCGAGAACTTTTTCACACAACCTTGTTGCTGCCTTCGTTTGATGCCAAGAAACTTGATATGTGTGTGTTTAAAGTCCTGACTCACCTCACCGCTGCCAACAGGTTCAATCCCATAGGAGAAGTTCCCATCAGAAAACATCCCGCTGGAACAAACAAACAAACAAACAAACAACAGCTGCATGTTACAGTATGCCTGGACATGTTTGTGTCGGATGGCAGCCGTATTGTCAACAAATCATTGGTTGCCAACTTCTAGTGGTATCCCCTTCTGTATTTTTAGGTACTTTTTTTTCACACTCACATGAACAAAATGATTCATACCACCTAAATGCAAAATAGCATGAAAGATCTTTATAATTATCAAATATGTTTATATCTTTCAAGGGCATTTCTTCCCCTTTTGATTAGGCCTCTATCATCATGTTTTGTAAAATACATTTTGAAACCTTGCTGTAGTATATGTATTTTATTGTATGTTAAAAGGAATAGTTAGAGTTCACGTCTCTACTGTAAATATGAAGCAGTGGGCAGCCAGTTAGCTTAGCACAAATACCAGAAATAGGGCGAAACAGCTAGCCAAGACATTTCTTGGCTTTCTGTACAGAATAAACAAACCAAATGCAATAGTTTAGTGAGCACTAGACCATGACAGAGCCAGGCTAGGTGTTTCCCTGTTGCCAGTCTTTATACTAAACTAAGCTAAGCAAATCTGAAAAGGATATTTTAGAAAATTTACACTGAGCTTTCAAATGTGATTTAGTGCCTTAGCTATTTTAGTAGTGTTTTACTTTAGGCAAACTTACAGCAAGTATTTGAACATTTGAATTACATACAGACACCAAACGTTGGGTCCTGACTGAGTCTACATTACAGATGAAGTGACCTTTAATCAAAGTATTCGACTCACTGCAGGCCGTGACAGGTGGACAGAGCAGCCCAGGAGCCCGGCAGCCCCCGCACACCCCCATGATAGTAGCAGTGCTCTCCTCCCTGGAAACAAATTGTATATTATACTGAGACACTCATAAAGTAACATCAAATTTCAGAAAATGAAACAGACACTGACTGTGAACCCCTCGCTTCTGCTGATCTCCTGGCCTCCTAAATAAGCACAGGGCAGGTATTTACTGTCAGTCTAGGGCCTACAGCCAACCTGGTGGGTCAACTGAAGGATATCAGTGACTACTGTATGACTCAGTGGCCGGGAAAACCTACACCTACACAGGCTGCAGCGGAGATGAGTTTCACCAAGGAAAAGCTGTGTGCATACAGTGCATGTGTGTGTGTTTGTGAGCGATGGAGAGAGCAATTCGAGTGCAACAAGGCCAAGGGTCAAATGAGAGAAACTTATTGATGGACTATGAAGTTTAAGTAAACAACATGAATTAAATTCAGATTTTTCCTTCAAAATGTGCTAAACTTTCACTTGAAAACCTATTGTTTTGATTTAAAGAGTAAACTTGGCAGCAAACCACATAATAGCAACCATTTCAGTTTTCTGCAGCAAGGTTACTGCAACCTCAAGGTTACAGTGTCTGTAACCAAGGACTCATTCAGGTACTCCAACTTGCATGAAGGATACTGGATCTCAAACAATGACTGTATCCCTACATTATACAAAAACCTGACTATAATGTTTTCTTGTAGAGGTCAATGTATTTTTAAATCTGAAAACAAATGGGTTGTAACTGAAAACTAACCTGTTAGTAGGGCAATTTTTATATTCCAAAACAGGGGGAAGTCAGCTATCTGTAAGATAAATGAATCTCCATATACTACATAGTTAAGGATACACAAATAAAAAAGATTATATTGAGATATGTTAAATTATATGCTTACATGACTCAACCAAAACCTATAGAAGACATTATAAAACAGTTCTGAAAAGCTCAACTATAAAGGTTGACTAGTAAATTCACTTTGACATGTAAAATCTGTGAAGTGCCCCTTTAATATAGGATGAGTGTGCCAGCTGACACTTTCAGATTGGCAGAACTGCTGTAAGGTGTTAGCTGTACACCTGGCTTCCAGATACCTTCACCAGATTATTCATAATCCCCTGAAAGGCTCCAACTGGATGATCATGTTTTGAATATAGTGTTTCCACACTGCCTCTCACGGAGCAGCAATGATCGCATTACGACAATTAGAGAGAAGGCATGCCACTGTCACTCAAGCAGCACGTGCATGTGTTTAACAAAACAAAAATTGTTGAGAAGAAACTAAACTGTGCATGGCAGTTAGAATTACACTCAGGAGTGGATTTTTATATAATAAAGGAGTCTTCATCTAAGTGGATGGAGATTATAGTTATGGGTCTGTGTTTGTAGCTACTTCAGAGAGTGTATATGCATATGCATGAGTGTGTGTGTGTGTGTGTGTGTGTGTCTGTGTGTGTGTGTGTGTGTGAAAGAGAGGGTCAGTTTCAGGTGTTTGTAATGAACCCCTCTAAGTCATGTCTGCCACCTGAGCCTGCGGTTGTCTGGCACGGTCAATAGATCCAAAAGAAAAGAGGCAACGTGGAGCTTCTGTTCTTTATGCATCATCAACCTTTACTCTGAGCTTCAACTTAAACCTGAAAAAACTCTGAGACATCTGTCAAGTCAAGTACGATCTCGCAAAAACATATTTCCCATTACAAATGGACTCATACTGTATTTGCTTCAAGGTGGACTAAATCACACATAGCCAGACAGGTTCCTATTGATGAGAAATCAATGGCTGACTTGGAGGTCTGTCAACTATGGCTCCCTCATCCCACCTCACATCAGTCACACACAGCCTTGAGAGAAAGATGAAGATGAAGTTGAGTCTTTCCATCGGTCAGACATGATGTCTCAGATCTCAGGACACAGTGCTGATTTGCTTTTGATGAAACTTGGGGGAAGGGGTGTTAATGCATTATATTATATATAGTTATAAGTAGAAATACACTAAATCCAAATTAACAAACAACCTAAGTTATAATAAAAACTGGCTAAAATAAAGACTATGACTATAAGACTATGGGTTTATAGCCATATCAGGGCTTTGAGCTAAATGCTAACATCTGCGTGCTAATGTGCTCACAATGACAATGCTAACATGCAAACGTTTAGCAGGTATAATGTTTTCCAAAATCACCATTTTAATGTAGTTTGTTATCATGCTAACATTTGCTAATTAGCAAAAACACATAGCACAGCTGAGGTTGGTGGGAAGCTCATTAGTTTTGAAGGAATTTGACCAAAGTATTAGACAAATAATTTAATAAACAGATATTTTGGTGATGGACCGACATTGGCATCACTAGAGCCATGCTGCTTGTTTGGCTAATAATAAGTAGCAGCTTAATTAAGTCTACTACTTTGAAAATCTTAAGTTCTACATCAAAATGTTATTTCTACATCATCAGTTCTACATCACTTTATTATTTCAGGCATCAGTTCAAAGCTGTGGAACCACATAGAGTCTGACTATTAACTAGAAATAATAAGCACTTAAATTTAGTCCCAGTATAAGAGCTTACTTAGATTCTGGACTTTAATCATTCATACTGAACAGTGAGATAGCCCGCAGCACTTGTCCAGGGCACAATAATAAATAAATAAAAGTTAGGATTACATGGCTAAATGGAGGAAATCAAATTGCCTATTACAGCAGACACACACTGACTTTGAAGGACTGAGTGCGCTTTTCATAGGAGATGCATACGCTTTAAATAATGGTCACTGACATTTAAATAAACCATGTTGTATGAGAAATTGTAGATTGATGGTGAAATATTATCAGGGCTGGGAGGACAGGGACAGGTAAGCAGGACATTATATTAGAAGTGAGTGACTATAGCAATGAAATAAAAAGTGCTTGCAGGCACAAATGGAGGCAAATAAACTGTTACGTCCCACAGAGACGAGAGGATTCAATTTGACATTATAAAATCTAACTGAATTAGAAAAGCTGGAGTTTACGTGATGTCTAGACTTTCTAGCTGAGAGGATCAGAGGAAAGATAGAAAAACAAGAGCAGCTAATGTAAAGTCTAAGGAAGACAAAGTGAGACAAGATAGAACAAACGCATCAGTAAGGAATATTAGACTTCCTCAGTGAGTAAGAGAAGCATGTTAAATCCCAAATGAGTTTTTATTTTCTTTTTCTCTGTGATCTGCCAGGATGCAAGAAGTATCTGACACTCAAAATCTAACTGGGGAAGATGATGGACCTCCTGCCTGATTTGTGTCCCCCGGGCCTGGGGCGGCTGGCAAGGTGTCCCTTATTTATCCACACTGAAGATGGCAACCCTAGTTGTAGGCCCTCGCAGAATCTTTCTCTTTCTGTTGTTTGCAGTGCGCCCTGTAGGTGACTACCAGCTTGGTAAAGTTGTCATCCCCCTAGCGGCTTGGGAATCTGATTGGAGGCCAATTGGGTTGATTCTGGAAACTCTAGAAACTTGCTTTATTGCTTGTTAAAAAGGACTGCAAGAGCTTCTTTGATATTTTCTGCCAAATATATGGAAGCTCGTTTCATGCTAGCTTGGTCACGGCTAGCAGCAGCATCTGGCAGTGGGTGAACAACTCCCATTGTCCCTCGTGCAGTATTACATGTTCACGTTCTACTTTTTGGTGATTTTTTTTGGTAAAAAGGGAAACAGGTAAGGGTAATCTTGCAACAAAAATGGAAAGTCTAGCATTCAAGAAAGCAATTTTAACCAGAAGAACTAAAAAACAAACCAACAAAAAAAAACCTTGTTTGCATTGTATTCATCTCCCCCCAAAGAGTTTTTCACATGATAAAACCTCTATGGCAGCCCAAGACTGAATAACTTAACAGTGAAACTATATAGGGAAAACATTAATATATTTAAGATATATAAACCAGCTCATCTAAATTTTATCCTCATCCCTACTTTAATTACTCTTTTAGTTGTGTGCCATTGAGATTCAATCCGAACGAGCCAGTCACCAGTTCAATGCAATTGCATGGATCCAGAGGGACCAATAAAAAAGTGACACATAAAGGCAGAAGCCTTTTTATTGGCACTTCAATAAAACTAAATAAATCAACATGGAGATGGTGGTCGTAGCGGGGGAAGGGGGCTGCATGCACACACCAGGTTCTTAGTCTTGCATGCACAAAAGGAAACGTCGATATAAGCAATTTGTGCAGTCTATTGTGTAATTTCTCCATAGGTGCATGTAGGTGTTTGCATGTGCATCATAAAATGTGCAGGTACTTACATAAGTTTATACTTCCTGTGGCAGTTCAGACATACAAATATAATACGGTATATAATGTTTACTGATGTCTGCAAACCATTTCATAGTCATAGTATAAATGGTACATCCAAGCCAATAAGATACAACTACTCATCCCAAGAATTAGATACTATATATCATTCAGTCGTAACAACTACATAAACTAAAGATTTTACAATTGATTGATTTAGTTTTCCCCTTCTACTGAATTCTAGACTATTAATCTAACTTCTTCTCTCTATTCTTTATAGACACCTGTATGGACTCTGTAAAACCCGTTCCACATACTATGTAGTTTGCTTTACCTGATGGACAAAATATCTATAGCCTTTGATATTAATCAATTTATTTGTGCAATATTTCTAAAACTTTTGACACAGAGAATAAGGACACTTTATTGAATAAATAAATTGCATTAAAATCCTTTTGTGTATTTTATGTATTTATGTGTGTATTTATCGTTAAAAATGAATACTTCCAACGCAGAACTATCTGTTAGATTAAAGAATTGCCATTCTCACATCATGTGATTACCTATGGTACGCCCCAAGGATCCATTCTTGGGGTACTATTATTTCTAACTTATTATATAAATGACTTGCCAAATGTGTCCAATAGCATCTTCCTGGTTGCCCCTAACATCAGCTCCAACTTCATTATTTTAAGTGGAAAAAGGACATACTGCAAACATGTACAGGTTAGCATGCCAGATGTTTTAAGCCAACAACACCTTTATCAATATTTGGGAATACGGATTCAGTACATTGGTTTATAATATTTTTTCACAAGGATCCTTTAATTTGGTTATTAAAGAATTTTAACCAAGAAATAAATCTGAGTTGGCCATTTTACAGTTAAAAGAACTGTGCTCTTTGGTGGCATCTTACTAATTTATGGAGCTCTTTTTCTCAAAATGACATCTTCCCTCAAGTCTCAGAGAACATATAGTACATACTTCACTCATGTTTTATATTTGAGTTTTCATGTTTTTTGTTACATAATCTACATATATATCTTTGATAATGTGATTATTATTTTATTTTTTTATAACATAGAGAGATAATGAATAAATCCATCTGGGACTTTTTCCTTTCCCTGCACACAACATTCCATATTGTTTAATGTATTTTTGTCATTTGTTTGATTTTATCCCATGCAAATAAATCTCTAACTCAATGATAGTTCCAACATTACACATCTGGTTCCAAAGGTCAGGGCAGAGGGTGGTTGTTAGATTTGGTTAAGTTGGTTCTGGAAATGGACATGATTTTAATTCCCCTCACGACACAACAAAATATACCCGCACTGCTGCTACTGACTGCTGGTACCCATAGCAACCATCTACTGATTGGTCAGGTGGTCTCTGGCAGAGAGTGAAAGAGAGGGAGCGATAGCGAGACAAGCACAGAAAGAGGGGAGGGACAGTGACTGAAATAAAGCAGAGGATACAGACAAAAAGAGACTAGATGGTGGTGAGAGTCAAGCTGTCTGCTTTTATTGCCTGTTTGAGACAGAGTGTAAACAAACTAGATCCACCACCACATCACTATAGGGCGGTTTGCTCGAATGTATAAATGCATGTCAGAGAGGGCAGCATCGACAATTCAATCAAAGTGTAAAACTGCAGCTGTTGGACACATTTCCGAAGACATGATGTGTTGAAGAAACCAAAGTAGGAAGCAAAACACATGAATGAAGGGTAAGATAAATAAGTGCTGCTGTTATTGGTTATTTATTCTGTTCAGTTTCACTCAGAGGGAATACAGCCTTTGGAAACATCTTCTAATACACACTGGACATAAAAGCTACACTCCTGTAGGCACTGGCACAGAATCAATTTTATATCAAATTGGCTGTGATGGAGAACAAGCTCACTGACTTCTAGTAAAGTCTGATAGAAAGGAGCATGCCAACATTTTCTTGTCATGAGTTACATGGGAAGATCAATACCAGTCTCAACTCTGTATAAATATGAAGCTACAACTTCACTTAGCATTAGTGTTAATTTTAAAATTTAGCCTTAGTCCTGTGTCAAATGTCCTTGTTAGTTTTTGTCATATTGAGTCCACTGTATACAATTTTTTTAAAATCAAGTTTTAGTTGACTAAATGTTTGGGTATTTTAGTCTGATTTTAGTCAAAAAAAAAAAAAAAAAAAAAAAAAAAAATCAAGAAAGAAAATCAAAAGTATTTTATTCTAGTTTTAGTCATTAACCATCATTTTAGTCTTTTCTAACTCATTTGTATAATTTTGATTAGCATTTTTGTCAATCTGCTCTAACTAAAATAGAGATGTTTATCATTTTAGTCACATATAGATAAAATGTTCTGTAAAATTTGAATGTTAGCTTTGTTCTCATTTTTATTGCAAAGGAGACATTAACTGGTCTCAATTCCCGGTGGTTAGCCTTGATATGCGCTTCAAGTTCGTAGTGTTTTTTTCAAAAAATCTTGTAACCACATTGCTTGCCGTCCGATATAATTACGCACTCTGTTTTTGTCTGCCTCACTGTATTTGAAATGGGACCAAATATCTAAGTGCCTCCTTTCCTTGCATGTTGTGTACATCACCAGAGTTCACATCCTCCACATTACGGTAATTATTTACTCGTGCACCAGGCGTCAACCCGGTTGGCTACAGCTGAATGAACACTGTTCAAGTGAAAATTTAGAGGGAGAAAATATGGCCTGTAATATTTTGTCTCCTCATTATACTGACAGAAAGATATTTTCAGATATTTTCATCTGCTAGCCTTTTAGTGTGTCTCAATTCGCACCCTTCCATACTTACACTTACTATTTTCAGTTCATTCACACTGAAAAGTATGGCAAAATGCATTGCACTATGGAGTACCCGGAGGGAACGCTCATAAAGTCGAGTGTGGAACGCACACTGACTTGGGGGTCCCTCCCCTTCGCAGACGTAGCGGAAGGGGAGGGACCACCAACTTATTTTCAAACTTGTAAAAATGGTGGCGAAGGAAGCTGCAGCGGTTGTGATCACAAAAGTACATTTATTTTTATTAATATTTAATCAAATTTAATTGAAGTAAGTTCACGCAGTGTACCGCATGTAAGTTTAGTGACGGAAGTCTCCAAATTGAGACAGTCTATTAGAGTCATATTTAGTGTGCACACATGACTGATAATGGTCTTCTCATTTCTTTGAAAAATGTCAAACTATCTCGATAAGATATTCTTACCATATTCTGCAACAGCTGCCCGTTCTCGTCATAGTGACGCTCCACATAGTCTGTAGACAGAAGGTTGCTGGAGAGAAAACAAAAAAATTGAGACGAACAATAATCCTTTTAACATTTAGTTTGAACCTAAATTCCATACTTGCATGAGTCTACATCAACAAATGACTGATTCATAAGTAAAACCAAAATGTGAGTGAAGATTAATTTATTATAAATGTGAAAAGTATTACATAAATGCTCTACAGTACAGCAAAATGTGTGTCAGGTGAGAAGAGGAGGAGGGTATATAAGTATACATTGTCAGTGTTGTTTAGCTCACAGCCAGTGCGTATAATGCCACATACAGGACATACAGTACAATACTGTAGGTGAGTGGGAGCGCAGATGAAGATAGGTAGTAGAAGTGTGCATGCAAGTACGGTCATGTCAGTGACTGCTGTAATAATGTACTGAACATTGTTTTGCACCTGTGTGGTGTGGTTGTGTGAATGCTATGCAGGCATGTGTTGACTTACTGGTTGAGTTCCAGGTCAAGGATGAAGGATGTGCCGTAGGCCTCCACCAGGAAGCTGCTCTGGGCCAGATGAACAGGCTGAGGGAGGGAGGAGAAGTTTGGAGAAGAGAGAGAAGAAAAAAAAAAAACAAACAAACAAAAAAACCCCACAGGAATGAGATATACATTTACAATTTATTAATTTACTATTAACATACTGATTTACGTAGCAACAAAAACTCAAGAGAGAGAGAGAAACTAAAGGTGTCTGTTAATAGTAGTTTATAGGAAAAGTGGACACCAATATTGTTCACTTGTGTCAATTGTTCAGTGTAATCATTAGAAATCAATGGCCTTAATTGAGCAGTTTTCAAGTTTGTTATGTTGTGTCTTGATTCAAACTATACAGTATGCGCTATAGTGAGAGAGTACACGTACACGTACACACACGAGAGTTCCTGGATAGGTCATTGGTTAATGCCACTTGGTACAGGTGATCGTGGGTTCGATTCCCGGTCAGGGCTGGGTGTAACATACCCTGACATACCGATAGGCAAGGTCCTTAATTCTACCAGCCTACCTCAGGCATGAGTGAAACCGCAAATACAAGAGCCATACCAGCCATACTGGAGAAGCCAAGAGAATAAACCGGATGTTCTCCACCGAACCATCCAAAGTGTACTCTCAGTGGCAGGGTAATAACACAAGATCAGATCCACCCAGGGATCTGAACAGTACTGGAAGAACATATGGGAGAAAGAGGCATCCCACAACACCAATGCTCAGTGGCTAGTGGATCTAAGAACAGATCACAGCAATCTCCCAGAACAAGATCCAGTAACCATTACAACGGCAGACATCCAAGAAAGAGTGGCAGGTATGAAGAGCTGGACAGCACCAGGCCCTGACGTGATCCACACCTACTGGCTGAAGAAACTAATTGCACTCCATGAACGCCTGGCAGATCAAATGAACCAACTGCTGATGGATGGGACTCACCCAGAATGGTTAACCCAAGGACGGACAGTCCTGATCATGAAGGATCCCCAGAAGGGAACAATCCCATCCAACTACCGGCCAATAACCTGCCACTGCACAACATGGAAGCTCCTGTCAGGCTTCATAGCGGTTAAGATGAGTAGGCACATGGCTCAATACATGGACAGGGCCCAGAAGGGAATGGGCACTAATACCAGGGGAGCCAAGCACCAGCTACTGGTTGATAGAGCAGTCACTCGAGACTGCAAGACCAGGCAGACCAATCTGGGCACCGCCTGGATTGACTACAAGAAAGTCTACGACTCAATGCCACATACATGGATACTGGAATGCTTGGAAATGTACAAGATCAACAGGACACCAATAGCCTTCATCAAGAACTCAATGGGGCTGTGGAAAACAAGTCTGGAAGCCAACTCAAAGCCAACTGCACAAGTCACCTGTGGGACTTCAAGATCCAGACTGACAAACTGGTAATAGCTAACCAACCAGACATCGTGTTGAACAGCAACAGCTAAGATACTGCGCAGAACCCTCAAACTCCCAGGCCTCTCGTAGAGGACCCGAGCTTGAGGATGACACTTTTTATATATATATATAGATAACGGCTCTCTGAATTATCTGAATAATGCCATCTAATCAACTGTGATCGGATATCAATAATAGCAAATTACTTTACTTTGACAGGGCTGGCAGACTTAGTGCATCTCAGGTCAAGGAAAGAAATGCCACAAGCTTCATTCATTACCAAATCTTAAGCCTGGCTTGCTTATGCTAGCAGGAAGAGGCAGAATTACAGTAGGTGACCTTTCAATTTGGGCTGATCTTTTTCTTAAAATTTGGTCTGGCTGATCTGATCGCATTCTGATCCCACTGCTCTTTGCATGTATTCATACCTGCATTAACATGCATTTTCCTAATCCAGATACAGATTGCATTTTAATGCCAGAGATAAATGGGGTATTAACGATACAATACTTGAGCTATCAGACGTCAATCAAACTGCGATCTTAAAAATCTACTTTCCATTACACTAAACAAGAAACAGCAAAATGTTTTTCCTTGCCACATGTACAGATTAGACAGAAGAAGCAGTAGTCAAATTACAATATGGAAAATGTCGATATGTCTAATTTTTGTGGTATGGTAATGCTAATTTATATCTTGCGGCTTTGTCTGCAAGGAAGGCATAAAGACTTCCAATGATGTGCGGTAGAACAGAAACCAAGCATAAATAAGGGCTTAGATGTCTAAAGCTTACTTTTAGGCTTACTTTTAGATGAATAAACCATGCCTCTCTATTCTCTAATTCATATCCCTGCATTATGTGTTCCCCAGACACCAACTCAAATTAATGAATCACTCATTTGCCAAGTGTTTCATGCTCTCAGAGAGGGACAGAACATGATAAAGAGAGTGGAGGAGGGAAGAAGATTTATGGATGTCAGTATGAAATCATTTAAGTGTGCACAGAGACAGAAGCAACAAAGACTCAGATATTAAAGGGGCGTCCTCCTCTAGTATCCTCTCCCTGAAGGTTAGACAGCCTCATCCATCCCTGAGGCTTTCTGGATAAAACTGGGTGTTGGGGCTCATCAGCTCCGTCTAACCTTACTCGAAGGTGAGTCCCATCCGCATTAGAAGACAGAGCGCTGCGGTGGCTCTCATCCACACTTACTGGCCAGCTGCAAGGCAGATCTCATTAGTATTACCATGCACTCTCTGCAAACCACTTAGTATCAATCTGAACCTCCACTGGGTCCATATGCACAATAAAAAAAAAGCCCACAGCAGTCCCTGTGAGCAGAGATAAGAAAGCTGCACCAGACTGTAAAGATATGTGATTGCATTTTCATTTTAACATCATATCCCAAATATCACATTTTGATAGGTTTGATTAGCTTTTAACAGGATAGGTTGACAATTAAAAAAAAAATTAGTTACTAAAGTCTTGGTATAAAAACAAAATATTTCCTGTATAAGCTTATTGCTGTTGGGAAGAAGCAAGCTAGCTCTGGTGATTTATGTTGGACAGTTATTCTTTGTTGACATTTTAAAAAGGATAAAACATTGACAGGTTATTAAAAACAAAACAGGCTAATTAACCAAAAATTTTAAACCCTGGTTGTTTTAAGAAAGAGATTGACTTTAATCTTAGTTTACAGCTGCACATCCTGTTAAATGAGCATAAGTGTGATCATCTTCAATTTTGCTTTTGAGGTCACGAGAAAGACCATCTCATTGTATCTCTAGTAAAACACACACTGAAAACCTGCATTAAATGACGTATGTGCACTTTTTAAAGTTGAGATGGTTACTTGTTACAAACAACTTACCCATTTACACCAGAGGAGATGCGGAGAAACATTAGCATTCCTTTGTAGTTATATTTCTGGAAGCCAGACAGATGTATTTCCAATATTAATTCTACTTTTAACTCTGGTTTGGTCGCCACCAACTCCTAAGGGAAATATCTATCTCTTGAGTGGCTAAACGTGCAGCTTTGTTCACCAGTTAGTTGCTAACTGTGTCCACCTGCTGCTTGGCAGATACTGTACTGTAGGTTTATCAGAGCCTTTTCACTTAAAACAGCTTCTTCTTGCTAGAAATGGTGAGAGTGAATCAAAACAGTAAAGCTGCGTGTCGCAAAAACAAAACAATAAGCTGAAAGATGATGAAATACTCAGTTTAACTGTTTTGTAATTTTATCCATTTCTATATATAAAAAGTGATTATAGCAACAGCATTTTTTATTTATTATATCCAGCAAAACCACTGATATTTTGATGAAATATTCATCAATAATAAACCCTGTAAGTGATAGTTAAGGTTCTAAGGTGGTTTCAAAGCAAAGTACTGTGGCAAAGGACTACCCCTGCCGACAGGTTGGTTTTACTGCAACCAATCGGAACAGCCCAGCGCACCAAAACAGTACAGTACTTCCTAAATTACCCACTCCACATTTAAAAGAAACATTATGTAGTAATTTTATCTTAAAATAACAGCTGACTTGTAATAGGGTGAATGGCATCATTGCCACTCTGTGTCAAGCTGTGCCAAGTTCTCGAGAACTGCATGTACCTCGCGGGAGGCAACATTCATAAATACTATGAAAAAAGGAGGTGGATGCAAATTGGGGCTATGGAGTCCTGTGCACGAACAATGTTTGTTAAAAGAAAAAGTTAAAAGTTCATTATGTGCAATGTAAGTTCTTTGTAATAAGCTAGCTCGGTATTCTCAGTATGGATATAATGGTAGAGGCTGCAAAGAGACAAAGGAAGACGTCTGAGGAAGCATGGAAGAGAAAAAGAAAGAGACTGAGCAAGAGACCGGACAAGAGTAGCCTAAATATCAGACTGGCTTTTATTTGTTGGCGTGAGCTTTAATTTTGTTGTTTTTTGGCCCTTTGGTCTGAACATCAGTGTTCGATTTCAAAGAGGAAACAGACTGAAAAGTTCACAGTACTTGCAGCACCAGGCACAGATCAGGCTGTTGTTGACAGATTACCTTAAAGCTAAGGCACGTTGGGTGGGTCACATGAGAATCTATATACAGCTAAATACTTTCTATGTCCAATTCACACCAAAGCTTACCATGGCTGCTGGGATTAATTTCCTTTTAAATGTGTAGTTTGTACAGCTATTAGAGGGACTCTGAAAGGACTCTGCCAATTCTACCAACTCTACATCTAAAGCCACTTTCTGAAGTGTGGCAGCACTCAGACTTCTCCAAGGAAAACAAAAAAAAGCAAAGACATAATGAGATGCTGACCACAGAGGGTAGCTCAAGGTCAGACCTGTGTCATATCCACTGACCGACCAGCTGCCGACTGACAGACACTGTTCATAGTGAAGGTAACGAGAGAGCACAGGTAGCGGTGTGAAATATTATCTAATGGACTGAAAGGAGGAGGCAGCTTGGGGGTCACAGGGTGGAGTTGGAGTGACAGACACATGACCTCAAGAGAGACGACAAACAGGGGTGAATCAGGTGATGGGAGCAGATGATGGTTACAGTTTTAGAAATAATCTGTTATGGCACTTGTTTGAATATATAACATCTTTCCTCTCCGTTTTCCTTTTTCAACACATTTATTAAGTTACAGGGTGGGGGGAAAAATTACGTTGGAAAAATGGGAGGCACACTGTACACTTGATATTTGGCTATACTATAGGTCCTTGCTGCACTACAACAGTATGCATCTTTGAAGGATACAGTTAAAGGAATACTAAAACATTGACATTTAATATGGAAGTAACAGCCCAGCATGAATACAAGGGTGTAAAAAGAGTATATTTAATTTTATTCTCAAATCATTCATTAAAATGTTCTTAGAGAAGATGTTGGACAGTTGAATGTTATCGATCATAATCTCATTTTATTTACTGGGGTGGTGATCGCGCAATGGATAAGACACTTAACCCCTAGTTACTCCAGAAGCGTGCGACCTCTGACATGTAAATTGTATGTCCTTTTGGATAAAAGTGTCAGCTTTTGTAAATGTAATGTTTGGAGGAACCCAGCCATTCTTTGATGATAAGACACATGCCTTTGGTGTGAGAGACCCGGGTTCAATTCCCCACTGTGAAACATCCACCAATGTGTCCTTGAGCAAGACACTTAACCCCTCTATATACCCCCTCTGATATATATAGCAATTGTAAGTCGCTTTGGATAAAAGCGTCAGTTAAATGAATAAACGTAATGTAACAATGCTCCCTTAATTGAGGTTTACTCTTCAGTCCTACACATTCTCACAAAGGATGCATTACTAGGGGAGACACTGATCAACTGCTGTAGGCTATATAAACTTTAGAAGTCTAAACCCACCTGCACCCCCGCTGCGTTGCTCTTGACCCGGGTGTCCAGGTGGCTGTGGAGCAGCTCCTCCTGGGAGTGGATCTGTTGCAGCAGCCTCTTGGGCTGAACGACCTCCTCTGCAGGAGGCAGCCTTCCCTCCAAACTCACCCATTCCCTCAGACCTGCAGAGGACACAAGAGGCGGATCAGCGCCCGGGCCTGATGACAGATGAGGCGTATTAGAGCTCTAAATGTATTTTCTGCAGTGGGATTAAACATCTGATGGTGATCTGCTTTGCTGACACCGAGGCAACACGGTCCTTGTTCTCAGAGGGTGCGGGTTAAGTGGAAGAAATAATTGACCAAAACTCTGATGCATCACTGAGCATGGCTTGCCTGTAATTAACTAAATCGTGAGGTAAAAGCAGAGCCTCTTACCTGTCACGGCGCACCGTGCACACACTGCAGCGAACAGCAGGCATCTCACAGGGAGCATGATGCTCACATAGTCCTAGTGATTTCCTCTCGGTGCAGCGCCGTTAAATGAACTGAAAAGAGGCGTGCGCGGAGCTGCGGCGGGAGTGTTGTTGACAGTGAAGAGAAACAGAGCAGCGGGGTTCGCATCTCTCACCTCCCTCTCCGCGCCAGTTAAACGCAAACAAAGGAGGCTCCTCTGCTCGGCTCCAGCAGCATGCTGGGTGGGTGTCGGTGTCACAGAGCTCCGCGGCGCGATCACACACCCTCGCCTTTCGGCCTCAACGTTACTGGGCTCGGTTGGTGCAATAAATGAGGCTGCGCGAAAAGCATGGAAACAAGCAGCACGTGGGGCTTGACTGGCCCACCCACGCTCTTTTAATGAGACCTGATGGGTCCAAAACCCAGGTCCGGGGACCCAAGGGTAACACCTGATAGCTACATCTACATCTAATAAACTGTAAATCATACAATATTGTATTTCTCTCAGCATTAAGATAGATGTTATTCCTTAATGGAAAATAAGTTTCTAATTAATAATGCACGTTCTAAAAGCATTTGATTTGGTGATTTAATCAGCTTTTTTCTTTTTAATAGCCTAATATTTTTTAAGCTTGTTTTGAGGTCACATTTTGCCCTAAGGGCAGGCTATTGTTTTTTTCTCATTTGATGCCTAACTGAAGATCAGTGTTCTGGACCCTAAAAAAAGTAGTCCCGGGATAAAATTTAAGGGTCACAAGATGATTAGGTTACAAAAAGGAATAAAAAAAACTATACTAACCCCAAAATCAAACCTGCTTTTGGCTTTACTGATTTTTGTTCTTTTGAAATACAGGATATTTTTCAGACCTCTAGAAGGGCTAAATCACTCTCTGGCTAAGCTGCTCACAGCTTGTCCACACTGAGGTCATGAGAGGTCAACCACTGTTAAAGGCCCTGAAAACAAATTTCCTTAAATCAGCTTCCTATATTTTGTTTTTCCTCTGTGCTCTTCTCGATAAGGTGGTCGTGTCTCAAATTCAAAAGCACCGTTTCACATACTTTAGTGCACCAATTAGAATTTAACATTTGAATCAGAATCTGATAAGTTAGTGGGTTGAGTTCCCATCAGTCAAATCGCACTGAAAAGGCCGATCAGGTGAGTTTTTGACTGGTAAAATCTTAGAACATTATACCCGAGGATGCTGTTTTCCAAACTATAAAAGTAGACTGTTGCTTATTTTGTCCTGACTATTTTAACAGATTTAAGACAAGCCTTAACCTTTGTGCTGCATTTGGTCCAGTGAAAGAGCATACTTAAAGAACTTAAAGAGCTTGGAGAAATCATGACAACTCCATCTGTCGAGGAAGTCAGACATCAACTCCACACACAAACTTCTGAAATGGGAGCCTGTTGATGGTAGTACTACCAGAACATTTAGAATTTTAGGCTGTGTATCTCACTTGAACTTGAACCCTCCACCCCCCGAACTAGCCTCACAAAACACAATCCCCACATTAATTTAAAAAATCTACATAGGAAACTTTTTAGTGGTTATGTAGTAAGTTAAAGGGTGGGATTGTGTTCTCTTCTTTAGTGACAAGCTACTGCAGTTTTGGCGAGGGCCACTTCTACTAAAGAATCCCTTTCATTCCAACAAATCCGGGTAGTGAAGGGTTACATAACAAGGCTTGGAGATTAGATATCAAATATTGTTTTCGTCAGCTGGGCTGATGAGCCTAACAGGACACATCGACCCACTGTTGCCCTTGCCTCACCCTTCCCTCCCCATTTAGCTCTCCCTTAGCCCACATGCAGAGTCAGTATTTATTAAAGACAGCGGGAAAAATTACCTTCAGCATACAGCAACAGTTTTTGTTTTACCCAAAAAGCAACTTTTTCTAAACTACACCGCAGGAAATGTTAATGGTTAAAAGCATTTATTTAAAAAACACCGTACAAGAATTGACTTTACATTTTCCTAAGAGGACTATTCATCATCCATCAAGTGGTGTTTCTTGCGGCTTTCTGCATTTGTTTTAAAAGTCCATGTAAGATATTCAGGTGCAATTTTTTGACAACGTGGGGCTTTGACTTATGAGGAGCAATGACACGTTTTCAATGTTAGGTGACCCAACACTGCAGAAACTGACAAGTGAGCTGATAAACCTCCCTGTGGCTGCAGCACACTGTGAAGCAGTTGTCTCTCCTTCACAAAGCCAGTTCTTTGGCTCACCTTCAAAAGGCAGGAAAGGCCATTTGACATTCATCGGACAGTTTTCTGTCTCACAGGTTGCGAGAGTCCTACACTCTACCAACGCATCATCAATGCCGGTGCAAGTGGGATCTGATCCAGATGCAGCAGCACTTACAGTAATTGAGTAATGCCCCCTTCAGAAAAGCCTCATTAAATTCTCAATACCGCCACGTGTTCCGGACATAGCTGCTGAAAGACTGCAGTCAGCACGACACACAGAATATTGCTTAGGGGTCCTGTGCACAAGGAGGATTAGGGGTTGAGAGGAAAAATCATAATAGATGCTCTTCAAATTTGTGGGAAGATGCAAGTAACATCTACTACAACAAAATAATTAAAGTAAAATAACAATCTGCATCTCTAAAACAGCTTAATATCACATATTAGTTATTACACTAAGTTTTAAATATTTATCAACTTTCATTGACTTATTTTGATGAGTTTAAGTGCATCCTACTGTTTCTTAGGGTGGGATATGCAGCTACAAAGTCAAAGACTGTTCTCCAGGTGCCTTACATGGCTTCCAGTTTTTGAAAATGGTCTAGAAAATAATCATCAGTGCTGAACTTCAACAATCTGTACTACAGTCCTGGAAAACGCTGAGGGGTCCATTTCTTCCCCACACAGTGAGGTCGTTGGGGTTGACGGCTGAAGGGCGTTGTGTAGACGTGACTCATAGCTGGTGTCGTGCATCCAGGTGCACGGCCTGTGGAGGAGTTCCTTGTCGAGCTCATAGCTCTGCACGGTGGGCGACAGGGGAGCGTCCAAGGCCGGTCCCAGCCGTGACAGCAGGTCACAGTCCCAGTCAGAGTCTGATGATGATGGAGAGAGCGTGGCTAAGTCAGGGATGAGGGCCGACTCGATGCACACTGAGGTGGAGTGGGATAGTGAACGTTGAGAGTCTTGACTGGAAAACGTACTATGAGATTTATTATTGGGGAAGTGAAATGGAGGATCAAAAATCTTTGCTTTTGAGAAGAGTGGCAAAATGTCCAATTGATTTGGCGCCCGAGTGAAATTCTGTGCAGTAGGAACACAAAACGTGGTAAAAGTCTGATTTACACAAAGTGTTTCTACACTGCACGTTGAAGAATCCTTTGGGTAAGGAAAAGACTGTATTATCTGACAAGAGATCTTGTCACATAATAAACAATCCTCAGGTTTTGCCATAATGTCACTTTCTAGTTTTGCAGTGTTATGCCCATGTTTAGTCCAGCTACCACTGTAGCTACATTTAGACGTAATCCTCCTCCTTTTATACTGGCTGTGTTCGGGGCTGGCTGATCTGCAGCGCTTTTTGGGGTTTGGTGCTGTCGCCGACTGTCGAGGGAGAGAACGAGATCTACGTGGATACAGTGCAGAACTCTGCAAACCATTAGTGGGACATATGATCCCACTAAATCCTAAAAGACTTTCCTGGTTTGATCCATTTACTCCTTCTTCATTTGACAAAGCTACAGAAGGAATAAATGGGGTGGAGATGGGAATTGTGACAGCTGGGACAGACTGAGACACACTTACTGCAGTGTCCATTTCACACATGAGTCCTTCCACAGCCTCCTCTGCAGTGTAATGTTGAGGACTGAGGACAGGAGGCTCAGAGTACAGACAGTATGGCTCCATAATATAGGGGGGATAAGGGACTTGTGGGCTTAGGACTGGAGGCAGGAAGTAAGGGTCGGGAGATGGACATGGCCTGTCAGGGGAGGGGGAGACATGTTGAGTATCAGGCTGCTGGCTGACTGGGTCGTAGGGTTGTGGTTCAACATCCAAAACAGGCATGGCTGGACTTGAAGCACGATGATAGCTGCCAGGGAGCAGGCAGTCTGGGTTAGTAATGAAAGGCTGGATGTCAGCAGGTGGAGTGTCTGGTGATGGGTTGGCTGGTCCAGAAGAAAGAGGACCCCTAGTAGGGCTGGAGATGTGCTCAATGAATACTGATCCTTGTGTCTGCAGGGCCTGAACAGCATGCTCCGTCTCAACATCAGTAAGAGGCTCCAGTTCACAGACATCTTGGATGGGCAAAGGAGATGGTGGTCTGTAAGGAGAACAGAGACAATACTTAAAACCCTCTATTTAAACACGGAAATCCCATTGTGGTACACTGAAAAAGCAAATTACAGGAAATCACAACATCAGGATATTGCTAGGTAAAAATAAAAACCCACCGGTTCAGTGTTTCTTCTGACTTTTGAGGTGGATTGGGGTCGAATCCTGGAAGCATCTCTGCCACAAGTTGGTCCACCGCAGTGTAGTTTGAGAGATCCAGCACAAATGCACGGTGCTGATCAGACTGCAAGTGCTGCAAGGGCCAACAAAACCCACAAGTCACAGTTACATACAAGCCAAAAAAATATTTTCCATGCCAATAGTAATAAAGTAATACAAGAGTTCCACCTCCTCCAGATTAGTGAAGGGTTGATGGCAGCATTCACAGTAAGACAGGTCCTTTTTGCGAGGCCGCCAAGGTGTAGGGTTACAGCTGAGTGGCGTTTGAGATTTGTCCTGAATGTTGCTTCCAACCTTTTTCTTCTCCCTAACAAACGACAAACCCCAATTATGATCATTTTTGATTGCAATTTATTTCCTGTTGACTGTGTTCCATCAATGCAACACAGGAAATAAACTTGAACCCAAGCACTGTGTTAGCAAGACAATGGTCTATATCCTTCAAATAATGCCAGTTAAACAAACCTTGTTTTATTTTCTCCTTGGTCAATTTGTACTTCAAACCGAGGAGGAGGAGATTCAAAGGGACTAAATCTGCCCGAGTACGATAAAGTGGGGAAGGTCAAAGACTGCATATGCAGGGGCTTGTATTTCCTGGTTAGAGAACAAAACAACATCATTTAATACACAAAATGTTAATTAAATAAAAATGTTTAAGCATGAAAAAAAAAATACAATGCAATAGACATCTTAAAGCAGATACAATAGAATGATTATTATCATTATTTTATTTTCAAATGGAAAACGCCTTTGCAAAACTGAATGTGAAAATACACATTAAGAATATTCAAATGCTTCAGATGTCTTGGGTTTCATTTGTTCGCAGCAAAGGCCTATGCATTAACCAGAGCACTTCAATTAAATTAAATGAGAGGGCAAATGAAAAGACCTGTTCGCACATAGAGATCCCCTGCAGGAACAGGCAATGGAGCTTGCAAAGCCTCATCGAATAGAAATCGTACCAGCTTGAGCTCTGGCCTCCAGGGGAGCGGCTTCACAAGGGGGGCTTGTCACATTACATGATGGGACTCCTTAACAGGTTCAATTAAGAAAAGCATCTGGGCTGAAATGCAAACCTCCACAACTAGCACCCGGTGGGGTAGGAAAGGCAGATAAAGGGACAGGTCGCTGCCACCCGTTGTTGTTCCACTATCATTAAGCTTAACCTGGGCAGGCCTAAAAACCTTCCCTTTGTATCAAATGACAATGTGAAAATGATGTTTGAATGTGAAAGGGGTCACTTGTATTTACCATCCGAATCTGTAGCGCCACTCGGCTTTCCAGCGAATTTTAGCTCATTGTAAAAAATCTCTCTCTTTCTCTCTCTCTCTCGCTCTCAACATAGTTAGAGATTGGTTGGTGAACGTACAGACAGAAGTTGGTGGAAACAGAGCTAAGAGAGTGAATATTAGACAGGTGGCCAAAACACCAATACAACTGAAAGTTAAATTGTTCCATAACTACTGGATGTATAAATACACAATTGCTTGCTAACAAGTTTGCCATATAAACTGAAAAGGTGATTATATGCCAACCCTGTGTTCACAATTTCAAAGCCCCCATGAGTACAAAATAAATTCGGCAGTCTTTGTTTTGGAAGTGGGGGTTCAAAGAAAGATTTGTGAGGGAGAAAGGACAGGCAGTTTTTATCTTAACCAAGTGTACTGTACTCTTGGATTCCCTTGTCCCTTGCTAGATGAAAAAATAAATAATAAAAACAAACAAAGAGCACTAAATGAGGGACCAAACTCACCTGCTCGAGTCTTCAATTTTAAGATAAGGCGACCTCAAAGCTGCAGCTATAGACCAGGAGAAGTGAGGATGAACAGAAAAACAATTATATTAGACAAAACTTTTACAATCACAGAAATACAGTATTGTTGGAAATTAACAGATTAGCAGCACAAACACAAAAACTAACCTTTGACAACATGAGCACCTTGTTGTTTGGTGTAAGTCCTCTGTATTAAAAAAAAGTAATAAATAAGACGCATTAATATTTTAGAGTAACGGTTGATGTACATCATATCACAGTAATTTCAATAGTTGTATACTTGTATTTTTTTCCTTCATAAACCCTATTCATTTCAGAACCATTCTGATTTCCCCCCAGAATCATTCATAAATGATGTACTCACTTTATTTTTGTAAAACTGATACATTTGGCTATCTGGTGAAAAGACATTCAGCCCAAACATCTTACCTCTGGCTTCTCATGTATCGCACTCAAGCTCTCACGAGTCAACTGTTTCAAATATAAAATGACATCTGATACCACATTAAGGAACAATACAAGACTTTCACACACTGTTCTGTGATTAAGAACATGACATTTCTTTACTAGTTAACAACAAACTTCTTTAGCTTGTATCTGTAGACACAGCAGCATAGAACAAAACACAAACGCTCACATGGCGCCATCTGCTGTGAGCAGAGATTCAATGCACTACAGATGTGAACACATACAAGCCAAATCAAATGTCAAATAATGTTATTATTTTGATGAGGAATTCATCTCTCATGACCATGGTCAAAAGGATACCATCAGCATACAAAATCTTCACTCCCCATGATCGGGCATTGGACAAAACACTGTTCCTCTGCAGTCGTTCCTACAAAACATCATCAGATTCAAGCCAAATAACAAACCACATCAGTCTTCAGTATATCACCAATACCCAGAAACTATAAAATAAAGCCCACAGGTCTGCACAATAAACCATATTTTAGCTGGACTGACTTACATTGTTGCGCATGGCTTTTTCAAGCAGGGCCTTCCCACGGCTGCCACAAACCTGTAGAGAAACAGGACACATAAATTTAATTACAGCTTATATACATTATAAAATCCACTGGGATATTGTGCAAATGAGTTGGTGAATAGTTATATATGTAGCAATTTCCAAATTTCTTATATAAATACATAATTTACACCATTAGTATAATAATAATATTAATTTGTATCAGGGAACTAAATAGTAAGTATCATTATTTGAATTCTACAGCAAGAAATACAATAAGCTATAAATAAATATATACAGGAGGTATTTTCTCACTCATTCAAAAACATTTACTGAAACAGAAGGGGTTCAGCAAATGTCAAAATACATTAATTAGGAAAGAAAATTACAGACCATATATATTAATTTAAAAGAATTAGCTGTTTGGTAAAATTGATTTGACGTCAATTATATTAAACTTTCATCCTTTTGTGACTTTCTATTGCCAAAACTCAGGTTAAATATGTAATAATGTTTATTTTTACACACTTGTTAGCTGTAAAAGATTTTAAAACATGTGTGGGTGATGCTTAGTACCACTGGTCTTGGAGTTGCTTGTTGCTGTTTGTCACTGTCTCGCGTCATTATAGGACGCTGGGTTTCTTCACTCGTCCCCTTTGCCCCTGCTTTGGAATCTGTACACTTCATGTCCTTCAGGCACTCTTGGCTTCCAGTCACAACAAAGCTCACATCCTTGTGAAGGAAACTCTCAACTCCCTTCAGAATAAGAAAAAAAAAACACCTGTCACAGCAGGTAAATGCTCAATCAAAAGCTAATTTGTTAATCAGGATCCACAGGCATACTGCCTTCATCTACACACAAGCTTACCCCTCCTAGAAGATATATGGTCTCCAAAAGCAGAGCTGTTGAGCGTTTCTTCACACTGTCCAGGTAAAAAGTCTTCCCCTCCAGCTTCTTCTGTCCAGGACACAGTGAGCCCAGAAGGCCTTGCTCCTTTGCATACTGCCGGTGCTGCATGATCCTGGTGCAGTAAAGGAGCTTTCAACTTAACAGAAAAACACCAGGACCCTGCTTAAGAGAGAGAAGCACATGTGTTTGTAAATGTTAAATGCATAAGTTAAACATTTGACAGGAAGCATTCTTAAAATAAAATCTCCTATATTAATGGCTATATCTATCTATAAACACATGATGTACGAATACTATTTATTTCTTAAATGTAATAACTTAATTTTAACTTATTTGGACAATGATGTGTGCAAAACTTAATACAAGTTCTAGTGCCTGCATGTTGAAGGTCATCTCGTTTATTGTCAAATGTGAGATTGAGGTAGATTTTAAGTTAGGTCAAAACAACGTTTTGAAAATGTCATGTAGTTTTTGGTTTTACTACCAAACAGCGTAGTACACGCATTATTAACCTAACCACCTTCCTAGTTAGCAAATGTAGCTGTGACTAGTTAGCGTTAGCTGACCTTAGCTAGCTTAGCTTTCCTAGAAATACACAACGCCTGGGCAACAAAACATTTAGCTGGTTCTTAATGAGAATTAATTGTGTGTTAAACCATTTTCAACATCGTCGCGGCAAAAAGAGAGAAGGACTACCTACTTACGTTTTGTTACTGTGCTGAAGAACTAAGTTTCAGAAATTGTTTCTATTGATAAACTAAAAGGTGGCCGAGAAGCAACCGCCGCTTTTTTAAAAACACTGGCGAAGACGTGAACATAACGTCAACGTCACGTCCTGTGAAACGCTGCCTTCACGTGCTTTTCACATCAACAGACCTCTGAGTGTCAGCCCATATGTCCGGAGTAATTGTTTTGCAATTTTGCAATTATGTGAAACGAAATTGAAATTCAGTCGGATTATCAGGCAGCCTCTTACAGTCATCCTCTCCAGCATCAAAGTACTTCTTTCTCAAAGTCAATGAGACGCGCTCTGCTGGAATATTGAGTGGTACATTATATTCTGACAGTAGCCTAAATGCAGCACAAAGGATGTAGCGGCAATATAGAGACCGTCCCCCCATTTTATGGACATAATTTATTTTATATACAAATATATGCTTTTGCAGTTTAGAAAGGGAACAAACACAAACATTTGATCAGGCCTCTGTCATTTTCGTCCAGCTGATCCAACACTTACTAACTCTGCGGTCAGCGACCTACTCCCTCTCCGGGGACCTACAATGGGTTGTGTAGCCAGTAGGCCTACTACCGGCGGGCTGTGAACGGTTCGTGATCGTGACCCTCTGTCTGGAGGAATTTAACGCATAGGTTAATCCATGTACAACAGCTGGGTGCCTGACGCAGCCCCACGCAACTTTCTAAATTCCTCCACCTCACGGAGAAAAGAAAGGTCAGGTCGAAACAGTGTAGAGATACTGCTGCAGCTGTTGCGTGAAGCTGCTTTCACCAATTATCAAAACAAGTTAATAAAGATAAAACGATAATAGCGCCGGGTGCCGTTTCACAACTACGCTCGTTTTATTTTATAAATCCAGCGCACCCATTTCCTTCACAGCTGAGGCTCTCGTTCCTCCATAAAAGGTGTGTTCAGTGTTGCTTTACCTGGTTCTTGGTTCTTGTAAAATATCCACTGTGTCTGCGTCTTCTAACGTAATAGCGATTTATAATTTTCTCACTGCTGGTTTCTGTCACTACATCTCTCGACAAAACACCACGGTTTTATTTCAGCGTTCTGTAACGTAACTTCGTCAACTCGAGTAGTTCACCTGCTCTGCTCCCCTCCACGTACACACACACGCACACAGTGTGCCAGTGACCCATCCATCACCCAAATCTGTCAACTTGGGGGAAACTGTGCTGCTGTTGCACTGTATATGTTGTTTAAAGTTAATAATGTTGGATTATTGTTTCTTATTTCATGGTTTGTATGGGGGTTTGGAGTAATGCATAGGTTTACATAGTAGCCTAGTTTTTAAAAAGAAAGTATTATTTTTCAAAAGTTTTATGTTTCCTAAGGCAATGAGTAATCCTGTTAAATAATTGTGATCTCAATATTGACCAAAATAATTAGCATTTAATTTAATTCATGAAATTTGTTGTGTGAAACTACACCTCTGCCTTCTCTCTGTACAGGCTAATGCTTCATTCAATACATCGTTTTATTTTTTAACTTTTTATTGTGTTAAGAGCGCATTTTGACTTGTTTAGGACTTGAAACTCAAAGTTTAAGACTTGGACTTGCTTGTCCTTGACTTGAGACTTGAATTGGACTTGTACAACGATGGTATGATCCATTCAGACTTACCTCTGAGGCACAGAGATGGTTGAAGAATGAAACATAGGTTGTTCTTTATAAAAGTGACTATCATATGTACTTATCATCCGCAAAACAAAAAGTGTAGCCTAATCATGACAGACTAATAAAGTGAATGATTTGAATTTATACTGCCATGACACCAAACTTGTTAAATGTAAAACAGAGACCACAAGACGAATATGAATTCTTTATTCAAAACATGCCAACAAACCTTTTTGTTTAGAAAAATATTATCCACAAAAACACAGGGACAGTGCAAAGTACTAGCCTTAATGACATTTCAATTTGAACATTTGCAAATAAAAAGATGTATTAATGACAAGGAACTCCTTAGAACAGGCCTCTCATTATTTCTTTATGGCTGGAAAAACCAATCCACATCAAACCTGGTTTAGTGAAAATAAAAAATAAATGTGGTATTATCAGAAACAACAAAACTGTTCAAAGCTTGGCCTCTGGATGGTAATGAAACTAGTCACATAGACAGTAGAACTTAACTAGTAGAAAAAAAAATACTTATTTAACAGTTGCACTTAACCGTGATGCAGAGTTAACAGGAAGCAGCACTTTGACTGTAAAAGTAAGGCACCTTAGGTTACAGTGGAGAGGCCTCTGCATATTTACCGGGAATCAAAGACAGCACCAACATCTTCCTGCAAAAGCTATTTAACAAAATGTACTAAGTGATTATCTTCAATGGATTTCTTACAAGTTGCTATTTACATATTAGTAACAGAATCTTTCTTGCACTGTTAAGTTTTAAGGCAACTTAAACCTGAATACTAATATAACTTTTGTCCAACGAAAATTAGGGTTAGGGTTACAGTCCAACCCAAAGATATTCAGTTTACATTGATATAAAACAGAAAAGCAAATCCGCACATTTTGAGAACAGAAAACAGAATATTTATCAGTTTTGCTTGAAAAAATTACAATAAATTATCAAAATTATTGAAGATTATTTTTCTGTCGTCAACTAATCGATTAATGTTGTCAAAATGTCAAAATGTTGAATTCGAGTCACAATCTGAAATATATCTGCATGAACATGTACCATTTATATCCCTTGGCTCTTTAAGTTTTCAGATCTTGTCTACGCACAAAGTGTTTGATCCTCATTGGACAGCTATCAGCAGACTGGTACAAGGTAGACCCTGACACTAATCATCACATAAAACTATTAATGGTGTGAAAACTACTGAAAAGAATGTAAACCCAGGCCGTGTCCATTTGTTCATACAAGGTATTGCCACACAAAGGTAAATACTGTCTGTGAAGGATTTGCATTGTTTAAAACTAACAAAAACAGAAGTCACCGACTGTACTTCAGATCCACTCAGAACCCTTTATGACTCCATATTTGCTGCTACTACTGCTGCTGCCTCTGTCTGCGTCTGCCTTGCTCGAGGGCTGTTTGGACGCCTGCCGGTGTTTACGTTCACGGTGAAGCTTGCTGTGGTTATTACTCTGGCTCTGTGTCTGGCTGTAGGCCTGACTGTCAGCCTCCAGCCTGTTCTGAAGCTGACGGATGTCCTTATTAACACCTCTGGGGGTATCTGCCATCCCTGCTCTGCACATGTTTTCATCATTACTGGTGTACTGCTGACGCTCCTCTTGGGCAATGTTCACGTGGTTCTGCCGGCATGCCCTCTTGGCATTAGAGATATCTGTGATGGGTAGTGGTTGGTTGTGGTGTCCTGTGGATACCAGAAGAGGCTTGATGCCGATGTTGTACCCGGGTGGGGCTGATGGCGCGTTCCAAGAAAAAGGGTAGCTGCTGTAATCCTCTCCGCTCGATCCTGCATCATTAAGGGCCCCTTGTCTCCGCATCAGCCTGTACAGCTCATCGTCATGGAGCTGCATCCGGCGGGAGCGTACAATCTCGCAGATGGTCCCTATGCCCAGGTGAAGCATCTCCCATATATTGAGTGTCAGACAGAGCAGAGATACTGTGTACATGATGAGGAGAAAGATAGTCTTCTCAGTGGGCCGTGACACAAAGCAGTCCACGCTGTGAGGGCAGGGCAGGTCTGAGCACACGTAGGTGGCGGGCACAGCAAACCCATACAGGGCATACTGTCCACACAAGAAAGCCACCTCCAGCAAGGAGCGGGCCAAGAGCTGAAGGACATAAATCCTCATCAGTCCATCTTCTTTGATACGCTGGCGCCCATCATGGCGCACCTTGACCTTCGCTTGTCCATCACCGCTGTTTTCTTTTGCTGTTCCACCGCCATCACTCTCCCCCTCAGCCATATCATAGATCATGGGGTCTTCCTCCTCATCCTCAGCCTCTTCAATGCCCCTGTGCTGCTTTCTGCCTGGAAGATTCTTGAGTTTCTTCCGTGAAAATCCACTCACTCCTGCACTGCCTCCCTGCTCCTCTGTATGAGCAATCTTGTTGACAGCGTAGCCCAGGTACATGAGCGACGGTGTAGCCACCAGAATGATTTGGAAAACCCAGAAGCGGACGTGTGAGAGTGGAGCGAAGGCGTCGTAGCAGACGTTCTCACAGCCCGGCTGGCCTGTGTTGCAGACAAACTTACTCTGCTCATCGTAATAGATGGACTCACCGCCCACGGCTGTCAGCACAATGCGGAACACGATGAGCACAGTGAGCCAGATCTTGCCCACAAATGTAGAATGGTTGTGGATTTCTTCCAGCAGCCGAGTCAGGAAACTCCAACTCATGGTAGTGGCAGGGAAACTACAGTGAGAGGCAACATACACCTCCTGTTACTCCGCTGTGGAGAGAGCAGAAATGATTAACTCTATGCAAAACTTTAAAGAAAGCATTCACATTAATACTAATTATTAATTTATACCTCCTTACAGTAAAATGCCCCAAACTTAGTAGAAGAAATTACTTTACGGACACTTCCTTCCTTCTTAACAGTGTCAGATATGTGGAGATAAAAACAAAAAAGAGTAAGTAGTAACACACACACTCTCTGTATGCTGTATTCACAAAGTATTATAGCTCAGAGCACTTTGTCTTTCCTACAGTATACATGGCTATCAAATTTTTCTTTACAAAAACAACATGTTTATCCTTGATTCTTTTAATAGCTGTGCCCCAAAGCTCATGTCTAAACACATCCTTGGCATTAGTAAGCAAAGGGAAGAGTAATGACAATGATGGAATGTCTAACCATAATTGCTATTGTTAACCGAAAGTCCCTAATAGACATTTTACATTAGGTCATTACTATGTCTGACCATTCAGATAAACTAAAAACTTTCTCATCTGGTTTAAGAAATAAAATCTTGTGTGTGTCTGTGTTAGAAAAACTCAAATATTAAAAGAGGAATCAGCTAAATTACTTCAGTGTCACATAAGTATTATTAATATCAAGTACTGCAGGAAGACGACATTGGAAACATGAGTCAGAGTTAGTAACTTGGGAAATAAAGTCATGCTAGCAGTTCCTCTACGTACACAACACAACTCCTCTCCCTTCTTTCCACTGGCATTTCCTGCAATAACTCGGCTCTCATGAGATTTCAGAGCGACAACTTTCCTTGAGTGAGACTTCTGTTTCCTGTTAAAAACAAAGGGTGTCACCGGGGTCACTCATTATGTTGTTAGACACCTGGTATAAGAGTCTGTCAGTGGCTAAAAGAAGCACTTTTTGTGGACGTAATTTTGACAGGCAGAACTGCCCCGAAGGAAAATGATGCAGCCACTGCAGCCGGTTTGATGGCTGTTGGTTGAAGCACAGATTCCAAAACATGTTGTACTTACTAGTCATTTCAACACCTAAATATGTGACAATAGCACCCAGTTTTAAATGTGTTTTTCCTTTCACAGTCATTGGTTTTCATAAATAATGTAGACATAGAACAGCATTTTTATAATTAATGGACGGAACAACACAACTACAATATGGACAACTATTAGCTTTAAATGTGGCTCAGCTCCTTACTGACATTTCTTTGTGCTGTAATTAGCTACACAAGGCTGGGGTAAAGAGATGCTCTGAGGTAGTAGCATACTAGATGGCTAGCTAACTGGCTATATAGAGACACACACACACGCACTATTGTCAAAAAAGATGAAAAGCAAAAAATGAAATCACTCTGGTTTGCTTGAAATTTGTATTGTAGAAACTGTTCTTTCCCTCACCTGAATTTAGATGATAAAATCTCTGTCTGTCCTCTGGTGAACTAGACCACCTCATACTGTACCTAACTTTACCCGTTTAACCCCTGCAGACATCCATCTGCCCAAAACCTACTCTGCACACATTTTCACGAGTCACTCATGCAAGAGGAAATCTAAAAGGTTCAGCTCACTTCTATGGGATAGACTGTGTCTGCATGTGTGTTTTCTGTGAGTGTATTAGTTCATGAGTTCACTTCTTAGGATAGTGTATATTGCAGCAACCAAGGCTCCTGCACAGTCGCTTGTAATAACATGCAGTTGACATCCATCTATAGACAGGAGACACTGACTGAGGCAAACAAGGTCCAGTGATACAGTACCTTTGTTTTGGGACTGTCACTGTATGAAGTCAATGTTATGTTAAAAAAACATTTGTTTTACCGTTTAGAGTTTAGGGCATTATTTTGTCCCCCTGTGTGCATGACCACATGAAAAAATAAAACAGGCTTGGCTGTTATTTGTTTTATGACTGAAATGATTAATCAATGGCAAGAAAATTAGGCAGTAATAATTTAAATAATTGTATATTTATGTTAAACTGTTCAAGAAAAAAAGCAATTGCTGGTTCCAGCTTTTTTAAACAAGAGTAATGAAAACAATAATGGACAATGAAAATTACTGTCAATTTGTTGCCCAAATTTGTTTTGATTAATCATTACAAATTGAGATCTGAGAATCTGCCCAACGCACATTTACATACACATTGTGGATATTTTTGTTTTATATATCATTCACCCATTCTGTATTCCCATTTAAATGTTTTCTTTCAACATCGTCTTCAATATTGCTAAACACATAAACACATGACTCTCCTGGATAATACAACAATGATGCCTGATAGGCTATACCAGTGATTTTCAAATGTTGTTTGTCTGGTGACAAGTGCAAAGACAATTTTACACATGCATATACAGGGCTCAACACAATTTTATTGATGCCAAGTCACTGAAAATTTATATCACTGACACTTTGTTTATAATAGGCAAATTGAGCCAGTGTGACATTGTATCCAATAACAAGAAATAAATAAATAAACTCCCATGAAACAAAGTCCAGCTGCTGTAAACATGCTTCCTCATGTCTCTGTCAAGAAAACAAAGGTTGTGACTGTCTCATTAAGAGTCACATGCCCTCTAAAACTGCACATCTGGCCATGTTGTGTAATGTACTATGTAGTAGCCCAGCAGCACAGCTATCACCACCCAAACACAAGTCTCCTCCGTCACTGCCCACTTTCAGCTCAGCTCATCAGCTCAACAAATCATACTGCTACACAGTAATGGAGTAAAGCAACTTTAATTGCAAGCCATAAAATCATACATTTTAGTTCTTAACAAGCCATCCAATCAATTCTTTGATATTTTGATTCCCCGTAATGTATGTATTTTGTGCCACAACCGTGGAGGTTATATACTTCTGCCAAATGCATTTTTTAAAAGCCTAAGACTCATTTTCAACATTACTTCCAACTTTACTCACCAACCTAGCTGACACCATTAGGTAGGGTCCAGGCAACAATCCCCCAACTTTACCATACTTATTCTGAAGGGGAAAAGAAGCCTCACCCTCAACAAATGGAATAATAAGTTGAACACATGTCTATGAAGATTCTCAGTCATCCAGGTCATAGTTATCCAACGAAGGTTAAAATCAAGGGCAACTAGACTTGGTTGAAATCAACCAAGTTCAGTTGCCCTTGATTTTAACCTTCGTTGGATAAGTTGAACACATGTTAAGATGATTACCTTTCAGTTTTTGTTGCCAGATTATTCTGATAAACAAACACACCATTCTCTTGACAAACATATATACACAAAACCAGAGCCTGCTGTCAACTCTTTTGTGTGAAACCACTGAATGTAACTGTATGTGAACAAAAAATAAACCCCACAGATATGTCTCTACATAAAACCTCCATTCATATTCATTGCAAAACAAAAGAAACCTGCCTAGTCTCAAAATGTAGCAACAGCTCCAACAAGTTGCTAGTGCCACATTGAATGCCCGAAGGTGTTTCAGTGCATTTTTCCCCAGATGTCTCCCAGCCCCAGACCAACAGCCTCCAGCTTCCTACAGTGCCAGTAAAAGAACTATTTGCCAGCCTTGTACATGCCTATCTAAGAAGGCTTCAAGCTGTGAACGCGAAGGTCTGTGGTTTCCTTCAAAGCATTTCAAGTGATGCTCCACCCAAAATCTATAATTTGAGTTTAAAACACCACTATTAACTTCAGTGGCAACTGTAAAAAGGTTGTAGTTTGCTGACACCACACTTTCTTTTTTAAAGCATATTTTGGGGGGCATTTTTTTGATTAGAGACATTCTACATGCTAGAAAGCTGACGAGGAAAAAACGGAAATGAGGTGGGAATGAAACGGTCCCTGATTGGACTGGTTTCAAACCAGGTTTGGTGTAATCAATATGGCCAGCACCTTAAATGCAACACCTACCATGTCGTACAAGCAGAAGAAAATGGCATTTTGTGCTGATGCAGGGACACACATCAATCTACATTGACAGTGCCAGTATGTAGGCTTGTTTATAAAAAAAATGGTGTGAGCGTTTAGACATACATCTGTGTGTTGCCCTTACTATACATAAATAGGAGCACAGCTTAGTATCAGTTTGCTACGACTTCACCTTTGTGGTAAAAACTAGCAGATCTGAGTCTTGTGATTTGCCTCTTGAGGAAGTAGCAAATTTAATGTTGGGCCTGGGACCCAATCACTCAAAGACAACTGTGCTCCAGACCAACAAACAAGCTGAAGGCAGGATTGTCGGGCTAGACAATGTGCATTAATGAAGACCGAATCGAAAATAAAACAGGCAGATAATCACCACGTTACATACATCATGGCATACTTATTTAAATAAAAAAAATCTCACAGGAAATGCTACAATGAGTGTAATTACCCAAACTTTGGCTTCAGCATCTCCCATCACTGTATATCCAGACACATGGAGCCCACAGGGTGCAGGGCCCATCTACTCAAAGATGTCAAACCACACACAGAAGATGCAGTATAACATAATATGATTTAGACTCAAGCCTCTAAGCATGAAGAGCTTATCTGACATGCTGAAGAAGGCCATACAAGTATGCCATGCTTGCATAAGAAATCAACTATCCAGGTAAAAAGAGCAGTAAACACCCAGCATTAGAATTAGTGCCTTTATCTCCTTGAGTAGTAATTAGTACTTTTCAATGAGAAGCCTATTTTGTCTATACCTTCACATTTCACCATATTTTATTTTACTATTGTGCCTCCTCTGCAATTTCCTGTAATATTAGTGTAAATAGCTAAATCTTTTTGGGACTATAAATAAGCATATCTGGACGTACTAACACTTATTTTACATTAACCGGCACCAGCTACTCCCCTCCTTCTTCTCGACTACTACAATTAACAAAAATTAATAAAAATATATATATTAAAACACTTTCAATCATCATTCTATGTATTTTGCATATTGAAGTGAGTCTTATTACCTCTTTTTGTTTTATCCTTCGTATCCTTCTCGTTTTCACGGCCAGAATTCAGGGATATTTCAAACCCCATGTGCCTGCAAAGAAAACAGAGATAACGCAACAAACATCTGTTTAATCAAATTTCTCAGTTTTTATATTTGACAGGAGAATTGTTAATTAGCAGATGTTTGGTGATTTATAATAGCACAGGTATGATCATTTTTTTGTTCAAGTTTTAACACATAAAGCTTTGACTCTAATGTTAGTTTGAAATCTAAAATGCTTTTCATTGTAGAAGAGAAACTGAACATTTAAGTTTAACCCTGTATGTTCTTCCGTTCACATCACAAAACTCATTTAGTGCTGAAAAAATAACATAAATATAAAGTTTGCACATCTTCTTCAAATCAAAGATGCCAAATAGAAAAGCATGCCACTGACCCAGATAAATGAAATAACATGTTGTGCTGTACTTGTTCCCGATGAAGCTTAAAGAACTTTAGCCAGCTGTATGAATTGTTGATTAAATGAACAGCAAATTAATTGCCAGCAATGGATTTAGATTATTTAACATAGGTAGTTTATTCTACACAATTCTTCTTTGTGTCATTGTTAACTTTGCTAGCTAATGTTAGCTAATTGAATGAGGTATCTTTGGGTTTTGGACTGCTGGTTGGAAAGAAAGAGCTAACGTTAACGTCATCTAAGTTGGGCTCCAGAAAATTATGATGGCGCTTTTAATTTTTTTCTGACATTTTATAGACTAAATGATTAATAAACACAACATACGTTCAACCCCCTAGACCTTTAAAACCACAAACGGGGGTCAGCAGCATCATTTTGGATGTTAGCAACGTTAACGTTGAGCAAAACGTTGTGGGTTTTTTTTATTTTAACCTCGACGAAAATATGTATTAATAATGTTTATGAATGCCTGTCAGTTATTATCAAGTACATTTGTTATGTTACGGTAATTTAAAATGTCTGTAAAACATAATAGACAAAGTTAATTCGCAGTTAAGTAAGTTAACTGACCCTGTTAGCAAACATTAGTAACATTATCTTTAACTGAACTAACGTTAGCTAAATCAGCTAATAAACCTACAAACCTAACCTTAGTTAAAATTAATCCTAGTTAACCTGGAAAACAGGCAAATCGTATGGTATAATCTTTGAGTAAGTTTTCTTCAAACACGCCTTGACAATGAACAGTAGACCGACATATATAAACCACAGCATCCTCACCTTTTCAGACGCACATCTGGCGCCGCTCCGCTCGAGAAAGACGGATCAACGTTCACAACTCAACCGGAAAGATACGGTACTTCTGTGCTGATGCCGAATTACACCAAAAAGTATGATATTGACGTTCACTCACAAAAATGTAGTCAAAGTTTAAAGTGACGGAAATTCTTACTAATTTGAGTGTTAAATTGACTTTTTATCCCGGAGACTGGAATTGGAGAGGGAGAGGGCTTGATTGTATGAGGGAAGGAAGACAAACGGGCTGGTGCCAAGCAAGGAGGGGCTTGTGTGTGTGTGTGTGTGTGAGAGAGAGAGAAAGAGAGAGAGGGAGGCATCAGGAGGCATTTTCCTTATTAACATTGTTATAAAAGGCAATTTTTTTTAAGGAAAACTATTTATATCATGATCAAATGCATGCAATCTATGACCTCTAATCAATGGCACACCTGCATTTGTTTCTCACTGCAACCCTGACTGCATACTTCACCTTTTGGATCTGCTGTTGAATGCCAAAGAAGTCTTGATGATGTGTAGGGGAGGGGTTCTCAAAGTGGGGTCCGGGGAACCCAAGGGGTCCTTGAGGTGGTTCCAGGGGGTCCCCAGCAAAAAAGGGGAATACTTTATTTTTGTTATAATTCTATCCATACATAGGACAGTGACTGAATGTATGAATATTTTGGTCATGGGTTTCATATATTTTCTGTAAAAAAAGAAATATAAAAGAAAAATCCTATCAGATAGGGGACCCTGGGACAAAATCTTATCAAACGGGGGTCCATGGTCTAATTTGTGTTAGTTTAGGGGTCCCTGATGTGAAAAAGTTTGAGAACCACTGGTGTAGGAAATACCAGTTCTACTGCTGTGTATAAACATTGCACAGCCACAGTCTTCTGTAGCCACATATTTTCTAAGGTTATGACCTATTTCCTTTGACCTATGACCTAGTCTTTGTCTATCTGTCATTATGGACGATTATCTAGTGACAAATGAGGACTTTGTCTTTAAATGGCAGATTTATCTACTCCAGATAGGGCACACACACAGGTGCTGCTAAATCAACAATGCACAGAGTGGGTTTATTATTAGCTTAGTCAAAAATGTGTTGTTAATCATGTCGATGCTCCTACATCTTTTTGAGTAGAATGCTGAGGTTTATTTCAAAGTTTCCTCCATTTGCCTCTACTTCTGGCTGCACAAACGGTAGAAAGAGTTGGTCATGAGTCAGGGGCAAAGACCAGAGTTGTCACACAGCACATATATTTACCACACTGTTGTCTTCAGACAGAGTCTGAGACTGAACAGACACCAATAGTTTGTTTCATCTTCTTCCATCAGGCTTTGGATACAAATCGTGGGCCAGTAAATTGTGTTTTGTCAAGAGCTTTTTGCCTTCTACTATATCAAGTCCTCAACAAGCTGCCTTAAAGGGGCACCCCATGAATTTTACTCATAAAGGTCAGTTTACTCGTCATGGAGAATACTATTCAGCCTGTAAAAACTGCTGTATAATGTCATCTGTAGTTCTGGTGGGAGCTTTAAAGTCCCTGATGATATGAAGAGCCTGTGTACAAACAGGGAGTGTGAAGTTTAAAAAGAGTATGGCAGATAACAGGCACTGAGGCTCTAATGGAAGATGCTATCTAGTTGCCTTTTGGGAATTAAAAGATCCAGTGTTTTTTGATCCAGACCTTAAGCGTTTGAGGAAAAGGAAAGTGCTCTGACTCCATCATTTTGTCTTCTAAGTTCCGGTCTACACCAGACATGAAAATGTGTTAACATCTGCTGCTTGTGACCACCTTACACCAAATATCTGACCTGTTTCATAATCTAAAGTAAAGCATGAAGGAAGAAAATAAGAGACTTTCTTCTGAAGGAATCTGACAAACGTCAGCTGGTCACATTACTGATATAACCTTCTGTGGCATGAATTTTTATTTTTGAGGGAAAATATATATTTAGGGGTTAGCCTGTGTGGACGGGTATTTCCGGGGATCTGTATGTGTGTTTGTGTGAGTTATTGTTTGTTATTAGTGTTTCTCTTCTCCTATTTTCTATTCTGTGTCAAAGCTCAGGAAGCAGTTACTGGTTTATGTGAAACAGAGGTGGACATCACATTTCCAGCTTTTGGTGTAACTGTGCACCATAGTACTTTGCATTGCCCCTTCTTTTCAGCCATTATCATCCAGTGTGCTGTGGCATCCAGGCGCACATAAGTGACTGGAATTGGAGCAGCGGGTCTTTTCTCCTCTTCTCCTCATATTTACTAGCAGTTGTGGAACTGGGACGACCTTTCTGCACTTCAGCGATATATGACTTGAAGGAATAAAGCTTTGTTTATCTTTCTCATGCCATTGCCTTCACACTCTCTCTGGTTCTCACAAATAAACCCGTCAGTACCACTTCTTTCATTTGATTTTGTTCTGATACAATGTTATCAGTGAGTCAAGCAGATCCACCCCACCCATATTCTTGTTGGATTCTTTTACCACAGCAGGGCAGGGGACTTTGGTGGTCATCTTTTGCTTGCGATCCTACCTCCCACTTGCTCCAACAGCTCAGGGGGTTCTACAACTCTCCCTGTATAGATTTCAAAGTTGAGTGAGACACCATCAGAGCCAGCCAAGATGAGTATTTTGTAGTCCCAAGTCTTTGGTTTTGCTGGCAGGTATTGATTCAGTCTTTTTCTTCCCTTAAATGGGACCATCTGCTTATCAATAGCCAGCTTTTCGTCCATTGGGATTTATGTCAGTTTTGCTTAGATGAGTGACCAATGGTCAGATCTTGTGGAGTGGATCATTATTTTTCTCTTGTCTCTCTTGATTGTTACTAATACAATATTTCCTCACCCAAAACACAGGGTCAGAGTGGAGACTTTTTTGGTTAGTTACACTATTACACACAGTCCACGTTTCCACTACTATGGTCTTATTATTTGGTATTAGTATTCCAAATTATATTATCTATAAAAGGGATCCTTTCTGAAGAATTTAAAAAATATGTTAATTACTTGCATTTACATTTTACCCATTTGGCCAAGTAAAATGTAAATATAAGTTATTAACATAATTCTTGATTTTTTAATCTTCTTACTGAAAAGTTAGCATCGGCTGTGTCAATCATTTAGGACTTGACTTTTTACATACATTTACTATAGTCCAGCAATAGCATTAGTGAAAATTAAAAGACAACAATAAAACAAAGGATATCTCTGTGTCTGCTGCTTCAATTTTGACACTTTTTAAAATCTGTCTGTTGCAAGTCCCTTAACTTCATGTAAGTGCAGTACTAAGTTGCTGGAGTACCCATTTGATAACACCATGGATTGCTTTTGCATTACATTTATTTGTGATCATTTTAAACTACATAATTCAATTTGCATGCCCCACAAGATACAGTTTTCTGTTATATCAGAAACTGCATGGCCTCAGTTCAGTTTCCTGAACTGCTACATCTTCAGCAGATAACTCATGAATAGAATGAAAGCCTTTCACAATGCAGACAGGCTTATTTTGTGACATTGAACATCCTCAAGGACATGCAGATACAATTCAAGCATAGGTTTTTTTTCCTGTTTCTGATGACCAATCTTTATCTCCACCGATGTTCATCTCAAGGACATAGACGAACTTCAACTCAGGCAGCCCACGCTTCCAACTCCTTTCCGTCTCTATGTGTTGCTAACTGACTGTTTCAAGCTATTAGCTTGACTTTTGTCTGGCGTTGTATTCTTAAACTATCAGCAGAAGAATCAAATGCAGAGGAGTGGAAACACTTACAAACGTAATCAGCCTGATAGCGTTTTGGCAGAGGAAGTCCCCATCCTAATTTAGAGTGACCTCTTACAAGGCCCAAGTCCCTTAACTGAGTTATCTTTCACCTCGGAAGGAGTAATTGAATGGAGAAAAATCAATGAGGGTATCCATAAAAGCAATCATCGGACTGCACTACCAATTTAAAGCATTTTAACAGTTGAATGTGTTCTGTTATTGGTGGGGGGATGGGCTGTATCAGCTGGCATGTGGATATGAAAGGGAGGTACAACAGGAGGCAGCGAGGCTGTCATTGACGAGTTTGAGAACCTCAAATACGATTTGTCACCATTCTCCACAGTTTGACGTCAATTGGGTTTTCAATCCATTCACTTACCTGTGGAGGTCACTGAAAACGGAGTTGGACAGCAAGTTATCTTTTGCCTATTTAATCACAGACACAGCATGTACACTTTCCCTAACAACGTCAGCCTCAATATGACCTAAATTGAAGGATCAATTCTGGTAGGATCGATTGAGCTGAGAGTTGCAAATCTCCAGAGCTAACAGAGAGGTTTTCCAAAGAGCGAGGGCTAAATTAAATTGGAAAAAGAAGGCAACGCATAAGTAACAAAAGCAAAGTAAGAATTGGCTACAAGTGTGACTGTACAGTCAGCATTTGCTGGTGATGTTATCATTAGGGGTCCTGGACTGACAACAGAAAATATAATGGTAGACAACAACAATGACATGAAATCACCCGAGGGATGGAGTGACAGAATAAATCAGAGAGAAGGAATAAGATGTGGAGGTGAACAATGTTGGAAAGATTATACACGATGCAAGGACAGGCATGTGGAATGTGTTTATTTGATCTGACAGAAGTCGAACTACAGAGACTGAAGGCAGTGTAGGGGAAGAGATAAAACAGGGGTTAAAAGCAGAAACAAGGTTAAGGCAGGAGAAATGGACACAAAAACGATTGCATTCTGTACAAGCTGAATCAACAAATTACTTGGCTGACTTCAGCAGCATCTCAAACTCACATGCTGATGGTGACATGCAGCACGCACAAACACCACGTCACCCCCATCACCACAGCCTTGAGCCTTTGCTGTCATTTTCTCTGAGAGGCCTTTCATGAATTCACATCGGCACTACTGTTTACGCCGAAGGAATCCTCATTCTGTTGTTGTCACATGGGTTTTCTCATTAATCCAGTGCAACACAACTACCCCGTTAGTTTGGTATATTGTTAGAACTGACAAAAGTCTGTTACTCACAGGAGACTCCCGAGCAGTTTTGATAGGGATACGTTGTTGACGTGGTGCCATCTTCTGGTCAAGAGATGTGTGCAGTAGTTCTGTGGTGGCTACCAACTTCTTTACCTCTCAAATTTTGCAACCCTTTGTCACAAGTAATGATCGTATTGTGGACATGAGCTATTAACAGTTCATTTCAAGGGCTTTTAGATTCCCCAAGAGCTAAAAGTATATCCTTTCACTTTCATTTGCTTGAGTCTGTCTACTCAGTACTGAATTGTTTGCTGAAATACTTTGGATTTCCCCTTTCATCTGCAGTCCCAGGTTGATGTTACCCACTAAAAGAAACAAACAACACATTTAAGTGGTACAAGTGCATTACTAGGAAAAACTATTGTCTGTTGGTAAAAGGTATGTAGTTAATGGGACTCAATGTTAATTAATAAAATGTTTAAAGCGTGGCTGAAATACTACATTTAGCATTGCTAACCTATACCATCGTCTAACTTACTATGTACAGTTAAAAAAAGGATTAAAATCAATGCAGCAGTTCTCTAACTAAAACCACGACAATTGTGAGGCATAAAAGTAGTTTATTTGGATAGTGAGAAGGTTCAGGAAGGATCGGATGTGTTGAGATGGGAAGGATGAAGGGGTAGAGAAGATTAGATTAGTGAGAGAGAGAGAGAGAGAGGCTTAATCTTGTTCCTGAACCTTAGTTATAATAACTGCATACCAAGTTCTTTTTACTCCACAGATTCTTTTTTCTTGTCAAAACATGGCTCTTACATTGCCCACAATGCTTGAGCGACATCACTTCAGGCAATTTATCAGACTTTGCGTAGATCCCCTTTAATGTAGCCACCCGCCTCCTTTCTACACCCTTTGCACTCTACTCCGGTCACTATCATGGCCATGATTGTGGCACGTGATATATATTCATACTCATCTCAAACTTCTTCTCATCTCATCACAGCTCAGTGGTGCTGTCTGACTCTCTCTCCTCTGACCCTGCCACCTCCACTCTTCTGTCTACACTCTCTTCCACTGTCCTCTAACCCTGGCCTTCTCTCTTCACTGTCTGATGTCGTGCAAGTTGAGAAAGTGGTTTAGATGACTCCTCTCACTCAGGGTCTCTTCTGTCCTCCTTTCACGTCTTCTGCCTCCGTTGCCAAATCAACATGTCACCTACTTTGAGAGGACACACTGTCCGTTCCCCTAAATCACTTCCCCATTCTCTTCTAATTTCTTCGGCACCGACTTGACATTGTCTCTCCCAAAACATTAACTTAAAAGCACAGACATCTACAAATACATACCAGTATTACTCCATTTGTTTCCTTCCAAAATGATTGGCACAAACTGGCTCAGGGATGGTCCTTTCAACTGAGAGTTAAATAAAACTCTTCTTTTTTATGACATCAGGCTCCTTTAAACTCAGCTTCAACTGACACATCTAAAACTATTTTTAAGATTACACTGACCCTTTCCCACAACACAGTTTTGATATTGAAACGACTGCTGGCAAAACAATCACATCTACTGTATCTTTGTATGATATCACATAATGTGCTTGATTAGAAACGATTAATCAGTTGGGCTATAAAATGTCAAAAAACTGTGAGAAATATCCATCTCAGTATCTACAGTGATCTAAAACAGTGAAAAAACAATTGAAAAGCAACTAGGGATTGTTTTTTTTGTATTTGCCTGAAGAAATTATTTAAATAACTGGTTGTCGACTGACTTATCTCAATTCATTACAGGTCTAATATATATTTCTCATATAAAATATCTGGTTATTAGTATTTTAAAAATACATCTTTTAAAATATTAAAATATGGCCAGTTGTCAAGTGAATGTAACCTTTCAAATTTCTATTTTTATAGTTTTTTATAAAAGAAAATATATCTTTATTTTATATTCAGGTTTTTATGCTCATCTAAAGTGCTAAAAATGCAAATTTCTGTGAAAGCTGGGCAAAACTGATGTAGATCATGTGATATGATTGAAATCTCACACAGCTATTAAATGAAGGTGAGATTATTTAGTCAATATGATTCTACAAAACCAGCTGATAAATTATGATGAGCCTAGTTGATACCTAAGATACTAGATTGTATTAGTTTACAGGTAATGGCAGTGAAGCACTCAACAGAAACAGGTTAATTGGATAATGGCTTTATATTCCTGTTACACTGATGCATTACACAAATAATTCATATTTTGATTAAACACACACACACACATTCCCAAAATACAGCATACCACAACAAATGAAAAAAAGAGCATATTAGATGAGCAGACTCCTAACAAGACATTTTATTTGGTTATTGTGAAGTCATAATACCATTTTAAAGTTTCATTAAAAACACTATAGTTTGGTGATGTGGGGTCAATGCACATCCCTGAAAATGTAAAATGTCCAACTTTCCTTTCCATTTAACCTTAAATATCTTTATATCATATCAAGTAAACAGCATTTAATTATTGCACAAAACTCCATGGAAGTTTTACAGGTACACTGACAGTTAAAGTGAATTAAAATACCCTACCATTAGCATCAGAAGGAGCAGAACTCACAGAATGGTAGTCTCCTAATCACAAAGCATTAATGGATTAGGTTTTGAACTTAAAGGATTCCAGGATCAAACTCCAGCTGCGATGATTACATCTTGTAAACATCTATACTTTTGTAACGAACCTTTTGTTCTTAGAGCAGCAAATCTGAAAGTGCGTTTTTATAAACATGTATTATTACGTTAGCTTTTAACACTTTCTTCTCTACTCCCTGAGAAACTAAAATACTGGTTTAAAAGAAATTTCCAGCACTTCTACAGCATAATGTTATTTTTTAAGGCTAGAAGAATTTCATCAATTAACAAACGTATTATTTATCTGTTTTTACTGCTTTTCACCAGCACCCAAACTTTCTTACTGTTAACTGTAATTGAATGAAGAAGATCTACAGTAGGCTATATGGATATGAATTCCTTTTTTGAAATATCTAAAATACAAAATTATACACTTAATTATTCTCTGACCTAAAGTTACTAAACAAGACATCAGTCAGTGTTTACTTGTGTGCATACCATAGATTGCAAAAATCAATAAATGTAGCCACTAATGTTCCATTAGTATCAGAATTTCGACAGCTTATCGTAAGCAGAATGGAAAAACAAAAGGTTTTCACTTACAAGACATAACAATTTCCTGAATTTAAACAGAATATTAATGTTCCTTTTAAATATATTTTTTGTCTCAGTCATGGATTTAGTGAGGCAAAATGAGGTTACATGTTGAGTTAATTATACAAATATACTAAAGAAGCTGAAGCCCTCATCATCATTCACTCACAACACTGTAGTTTACTGGGATCAAACATAAAGAAGGTATTCGACTGTTCAGATAATAAATATCTTCCTCAACCTAAACAGAGCCTTTTATCAATACTAATATTCACTGGGAGTTTTAATGAGGTACAAGTGCAGTGAGTGCTAGCTAATAACTATATATATAATATAATTGGTACTTTGCATTACACTTTTTTTCATTGTTTCAGAGTCACAGGGTATAATGTTGGGCCAAAGTGCAGGCATGTGGCTACAGCGTTCCCTTTGGATCTCATGCTGGTGTAGATTACCATTGTATAATCAAGAGCTAGATTAGGTATCAGTAGTGAGTGGAGGAGAGAGCACAGGTACTGGGAAAGAATATCTGTCACCATATACCTGTTCTACGCTGTCCTTGTGCCTGCCTGACACCACGTGTGCTCTTTTTGTCACAGGTAGTGCTTTAACATCTTATCCTACTTATGTGTCCGTCATTGAGGCCTTGACTGCAATGTTTTAAAAAGACGCCTGTCTTGAAGAAACCCCCTAGGGTGGAATAGTAAGCTGTTGTTCTTGGTCAGACACCTGTTTACTGGTTACCACTTATTATTCATTCTCTCGTTCTCTATTTCAGAGCTGTTCATACTGTTCATATAGTCTATACTGTATACCAAATCCACCTACCTCAAATTCATAATATCCACACATAATACTTATTTATTCCAGCATCCTTTGCACTATGCTCAATCCTACTGTGTACATGTGTACATGTATGTGCACATGTATATCTCATCCACCCCCGACATGTACATAATAATAATAATAATAATAATAATAATAATTCCCCGCGACCCAATCCCGGATAAGTGGATGAAGATGGATGGATGGATGGATGGTAATAATAATTTACTCCTGCATCCTTTGCACTCTTGTCTCTCACTATTGTCTCAATCTGTCTATATTGTTTTTGTTTATAGTGTGTATATATGTATATATCTGTTCTCTATATTGTAGCCTGTGTCTGATTTTATTATTGTATTATTGTATAAGTAAGCACATCATGAGCAATGTACAATCCAGAGTCAAATTCCTTGTATGTGTACACATACCTGGCAATAAAAGCTGATTCTGATTCTGTTCTGGTCACTACAATCTTTCTTACAGTACATGTGACACAAATGTTCAAGGTTGCTTGAAAATGTACGTTACATTGAGAAATTCATGTAAAGTAAATTACATTCACATTGAAGAGGATGTTGCGTTAAATGAGCCAACTGCATTGGATTTAGCTCACTACAGAACTCACTAGACATAACTATGGTTAAGCGCATGGTCATACTCGAAAACCAGAACATCATCAATACTGCATGTCTCCATTATTGATCAATATAATCTTGACCTGTGAGCTTGTTTATTTTGCATTCCAATGGGAGTCAACTTCTAATGCTGCATACACACTTAAAAACTGTCAGTTAAAATGGAAATAGGCTTTTATATCAGGTCGGCATTAAAGGATTGTTCGACAGTTTGGGAAATACGCTTATTTGCTAGCGTTAGATACCACTCTCACGTCTGTACTGTAAATATGCTGCCAGTTATCTTAGCTTAGCACTAAGACTGAATAAAGATAAGCAGAAACAGCTAGCCTGGCTCTGTCCAAATATAAAAAAGCTGCCTTTCAGCACCTCTAGAGCTCACTAATCAACATATTATATCTTATGTCTTTAAAATACAAAAACCAAGGTTTTCACCTACCTAAAATGAGGTAAAAAATGATAATTTTCCTTTTTATGGTGGGTTATGTACCAGACTGTTTCTTAGCAGTGACTTCTGCACTGAATTGCACCAACTATGTATTTAAGTTCTCCTTTAAATTAGTCTGTAAAGTCGATGCTAGAGGCTTGGTAACTACTAGTTAGTAACTGAATCAGCTACTAAAATTGGTTGCACTATGATTGCTTAGGGCACAACCTAACTAGCTTGGATGTAAAGTCATATCTAAAAGGTGCAGATGCACTGGATCCATTGACTTGACATCCGTCAACGTATTCATTTTTTATGGAGAGCAGGAGTGGACTGTCTCTGAATTTGCATAAATGCGACTCGCTCTCAACTCAAAAAACTAATTCAAACTGTAAAACCAGGCAGTGTTGAAACAGTATTGTTATATTAATAGTATAGTAATGCATAAATCACAACTTAGTAATAATTTATGCTATAACTAGACTACATTTGAACTTACACACAGCTGGTTCAACAGGCGGCTGGAGTCTCCAGCGGTTGGCTGCTCCCAACTAAGAAAAAGTCCGGCACCCCCCAATAAAACCGTAATTTCTACCTCAGTCTGTATGGGTTAAACAAAAAGGAGAAATAATAGGTAGTTTTTTTTGTGGATATCTTTGGACAGAGCCAGACTTGCTGTGGCCCCCATTACCAGTCTTTATGCTGAGCTAAGCTAACCTTGTGGCTCCAACTACATATTAACTAGAGAGACATCACAGTGGCATTGATTTTCTTATCTTACTCTTCACAAGACAGCTAATAAGTGTATTTCCAAAAATGTCAAACCATTCCTTTAAATTCTCTTAGGATAAAGGATTATCTTTGCCTGACCAGTGCATACTTTACCTTAAACAGGTAAAGAGAGTCTTTCAACCCATATTCTGTACTCTCAAAATGAGTTGTTACCATCAGGCAGACGATACAGAGCTCAGTGGTGTAAAGTGAATTGGTTTAAGAAATCCTTTTTGCCCGTATGAGTTTTGAATTTTAAATTAATTTAAACAGTAGCCTTAAAATAAGTAGATGTTAAGGAGGCTGTACTGCAGTACAAAACCACAAACTGATTGATGGCTCACGGTGTGAATTTCTGTATTTCTACGTTTGTAATATGTCTATTGTATTTCTGTGCACTGTTTAATGTCTTCTGTTTGCTGGTGTTGTGTGTCCATATATGTTGACGAGTCTCTATCGATCTATCTAAAAACAGTGTGGCTGGGGTAAAATCATGCATATCGTGCAGCTCACCAGGAATGGGGTTGGTGCAACTTCGCTATATTTGCCCCCGTCTTTCTCTCACTCTGCCACTCACCACACACACACACACACACACACACACACACCTCATCTCTCCTCCATTATTTTCTTCAGGCAGTCCACTATGTCCTCGCCACTGACCCAAGGAACTATGTTTGCCTTGAACTTGGCCGCCTGGGACTCTTGCATCTCCAGCAGCAGCCTCTGCATGGGGAAGTCCCTCCTCGGGAAGGCTGTGTCCCGGGGCCCCAGGGCCAGAGAAGGACAGATATCATTGGCCCCATCTCCGATATAGAATACCTTCTGGAAGGGAGCACCTCCACGCTCCTTTCGCCGGCCCGCCAGATACTCCCGAAGGATCACCTGCTTGCACATGTTGTCAGGACAATGGGAGCACGAGTGGGAGTGGAAAGGGAGCAGCACAAGCCGGCCAGTTGCATCAAAACTGGCCGGGTTTGTAAAGATTTTCCGGAAAAGGTGGCGTACCCCAGCACGCTCCAGCCACGTCTCAATGAAGTACATGTTCGCGTCGGAGACAACCGCCAGCTCAAAGTCCTGCTGGTGGCTCTGCAGATACTGGAGGAGGTTCAGGAGGCCAGGTGTGGGTGGGATCTTCTCCACCGCTGAACGGATGGAGTCCCCAGACACGCCCTGCTCTGCCATGTAAGCCAAGACCTTCTGCATGTGTTCGTTGTAGTGCCCCTCCCTGTAGCTGTTTTTCAGCCAGTCAGGAAGCTGTTTGGCTGGTAGAGCACGCACCACAGCGTCATCACTGTTCTCATTGATGATGGTCTCATCAAAGTCGAACAACACCAAGAAACGCTGTTGCTGTGGCGTTGAATTGGTTAGGTTCAATGATGCTGTCATCTTTGATGTGTGGAGAAAATGGCAAGTGGTCCCTCTCTAAGAAAAGGACATAGGGGAATGAAAAAATGTCAGCATGTTTTTTGTCTTTGTCAAGGACAAGAGATTCAGAGGAGCACTCTTATTGCAGCCTACTCTAAAAATGTTAATGCAGGATGCCAGTTTGACATCACACTGTGTAAGGGGTTCAATTAAACTGCAGCAACTGCACTCAGGAAACATCAAAATGTATAAATACTCTTAATTAGGCCATAAGCTGTAGGGGAAACATATGTTTACAAGAGGAAAGGAGGGGAGCAGAGTTTAAATGAAACAAAAGGAACACAAACAGGATGTTCATCATCACACATGCTCATTTTTGGGAAATCAAATAGTCTTTGTTTAAATCACAGCAGTCACCTCTGATACTGGACACGTAGTCAGACACTTCCTAATCTCATCACAGTTCTTCAGACAGACATTCCTTCATTCCTGTAAGATTGAGGGAACAAAACTCACTCAGACTATTTATACATGTCAGATCTAGCTCTATTTAAATAGCTGATATACTGTTTATGTTGCACAATTCTATCATTGTTGCATGCATGCCATAACTTGAGTGAAGAGAGAGAGCCGTACAGCATACATTTACCAAAAATGCTACAAATATGATTGGTAATGTGACAAACCAGTAATGGTGAGAGAGATGTGAGAGTGGTTAAAAAGTAAATCTACTGTACAATTACTATAATGTTGTAATTACATGGTATGCTATTTTATACTTAATACTTTTTGACATCTGTTTTACTATATAAAAATATTATGGCATAAAATTTGTTATTTTGGGGTAAACTAATTTGTAAACTAGAAAACAGAAATAAAAATCATACTGCAATGCCTGCACTTCGGCTGCACTCCAGCCAATTTTATGAAGTCTTGAAAAAGGGAAGAACAGGTTTAGACAGGACAGGATTGTCAGCCTTTTTGTTTCCCCTGCGTTTTATCTATAAACCCCTGTTGAAACACAAGAACAGGTTTTGTTTGTAGATAATTGTATATTCAGATTTTAAGTCTGTGACAATAGTTAATAGAGACATTAATTTGCACCTTAAATAACTCAGTCTAGCAAAGAGTCTTCACTTTCTGTAGTTACTGCTCTCTCCTTTTGTAAAGCAGGCCTATATAGTTATAGATATATAGACTTCACATACAAAACACATGACTGTCCTATAAATAACATGCGTTGTGATAGATTACACTAGCAGAATAACTTGTTCAAATTAACTCCACCTGCTATGACATTTAAATGCTATGTGCACATCAGTTAGTGAGCAAAAATTAAACAATGGTATAATAACGTTCTGCATAATAATAACTCTGCTGTAGATGCTTAAGTACACTTTGTTGATTCACTTTAACTTTACATTGCGTCTCTACTTATTGTTAAGGGACTGAGTACTTCTTCCGCCACTGGGTGTATGAGGCTGACAAACCCCTTATATAACTAAGACATATATATATATATATATATATATATATATATATAGTACAAAATTGCAGATATTTACTGATTCATATTAATATTAATAATAATAACATGCAATGTAATAATAATTGAAAAAGAACAAGGACTACATGCCCTGAAATGTTTAAGATTTTAATATAAGGTCATATGCCAGAATAGCCACACCAAGTTTTTGATGTGATGGGTTATTTGCACAACCCCATATTAAATATATACACACACAAAGTGTATAAATACAGACCACAGTAGTAATGGAGTTATGGAGAGTGAAACTTGATATGATTAATGCGACCAAAACCACTTTGGGCCAAAAGAATACACAGCATCAAACAAATAATTGTCCTTCTTTACATAAAGAGTTTAGCTCTTACATTATGTTTAAATATAATAATAATAATTTATTTATTTTTAAATTATTAATATTATTATTTAATTATTATATATTATTACACCAAAATGTTTTTCCACCTGCCTTACGTCATTAACACAGAAGAAAAAACAATTTAGATCAGACTTAGAAAACGGATCACCAGAATTGATTTTCTCACTTGCCTTTCAGGGCTACCGTAGTAATAACATAAGACCAGTTGGTTTGGTGCTCAGTATTCTAATGTCCTGCAATCTGCAGGTTGGCTGCATCGACAGCATAGTGCCAAGTGAGCATAGCACTCAATAGCACATGTTTACACACTAAGCTAGGCTATCTAATTTTAACCCTGGAGCGCTATTTCTGTATGAGAGGTTACCGCTGAAAGTCATTAGCGCGGCTCTGTCAGGAATCGTTAGGCTGACCGGGTGTGTCCGAGCGGCAAAGGTTCAAAGTCAAATTCAAACCGTGAAATTATACAAAGACAAAAAAACGACAGAAAAACAAAGCCTGTGCGGAATAAGACGAAAAATCAGGCCTACCGGCGGTGGGCATGCAGGCAGGGATGGTAGGCGAGGTGACCGGCTCCGCCGACCGCATCCCAGTGACGCGGTAAGGCTTTTTAAAGGAGACTCCCCCCAAGGCACAGAGGGTATTCCCTTTTAAAGCCACTTTGTCAAGTCAGCCAGCGTGAACACAGAACTTCCGCCAAAACCTGTCAAATTAAAAGTCCCAAGAGAGTAACATTCCTATGATTGACGTTTTAGACATGGCCAGTGGTGGAAGAAGTACTTTTACTTAGCCTAAGTAAAGTAACAATAAAGCTCAAAATAACATAGTAAAAATAATACAAATAAAAGTCCTGCATTCAAAATTTAAAAAGTAACTTCATGTACTATTGCACCCAGCAGACACAAGTGTCATTGCTAGTTTCCAGTCATTGCAGTTACAATTTTCATGCCCAGTGCCCAGGTTGTGTAGGTAGCAAATGTAGGGTACTTGCCCCCATGGGAGTGGTGGTCTTAAAATTAGGTGTGGTCCATTGTTAGTGCATTGCTATCTTGTGGCAACAGAAAGCGATTGTGTCACTGACCAACAAACTTTGTCTAAAGACAGAGCTAGCTTCATTTAAAGAAATGTGTATTTGAAATATTATTATATATAATAATATAACATAAAAGTGAGCGGAGGAGATTTGGTTTTGCAATCTGAGCGAGAGCTGTCCAAGAAGTGAGGGGAGACAAGATGAGGTGAAACCTGATTTGCTCTTGATGATTTCCTAAGAGAATGAGAAGCACCGGACATGTCTGATGTGTGACCCGGGCCAGGAGACACCCATCCAAGACATTAGAATTCAATGGGGGAGCCAGAGGTTCAACAGTTATTTCTGCCTGGGAAACAAGACTGTCATCCTTGAAAGTTTCACCAGTCAAGCTCGTCACCAGTAGTTTTTCTAGTGGTCAGCAGGGGGCAATTCCACTGGTGGTGAAAAGAAGTCAGATTGTATGTAAGTTTATGAGTACATTACCCGACTTCTCACCTGATTTATTACCTCAGTAAACACTTTCATAATGATCCAGTGTAGGTTAAAACCAAGGGCAGCTGGACTTGGTTGAAAACACCTGAAGATGTTTTGCCTCTCATCCAAGAAGCTTCTTCAGTTCTGACTGACTGCTAGACAGAGGACGGTAGTAACGAGTTACATTTGCTCTGTTACATGTACTCAAGCAACTTTTTTGAGTCAATTGTACTTGTCAGATTAGTTTTAATGCATCATAAAAGCATTACCTTTACTCCGCTACATTTGGAACCGATCCAAATGTAGTGGAGTAAAGGAAATGATTATTATTATTATTTATTTATTCAAGTCAAGTCAAGCATCCACGTAATTTCTAAGTATTGTCTTAGCCCTCCTCCTCTGTTTAGCAATGGCCTCTCTGGTGTAAATGGCCTGTTTCACTCCTCTTTTGAACCATCTGTCCTCCTGGTCTAAAATATGTACAACAGGTCTGACAGGTTCTTCACCCATCTGTCCTCTATTTTGTGCAGTGTAGAATTATCTAGAATTCTCCAGGTAAGTTTTTACCTGGAGGCAAAAGAAAGATGATTGCACACTGTGAAGAACCTGTCAGACAGGGAACTTATCCAACCAGAGCAAGACGTTCTGTCCAGTATTAAACTTCACCATCACTCCATAGCAGCTCAGTAGTTGTCTTTATCACGGCAACAGATCTAGCCACAAGGAAAAACAACTCAACAGAAACAGAAGCAGCTTAGGCTGAAAGTATTGGCATCCCAACGCAAAGGCACCCCCTTCCAACCTCACCATCCAGAAAAAGAAGGCTATGACAACACTGAGCAAAACATTCCTATCCTTCCTCCTGATAAAGGATTATGCACGGTAGTATGAACACAATGGACTGCCATGCCTGAACACAATTTCAAGTACAACGGGATATACGAAAGACAGAAGTATGACTGTGCAATGTGCTCACCAGTACCCCCTATTGTGGGCAACATCTACATGGAAGAAGTAGAAAGCAGAACCATGAACGCCTTAAGAGAAAAAGGACTGAGACAGATATGAACGACCCATAGATCAAACCCATCAATTTTGTGGAAGAGGATTTCAGCAACAACAGTTTGGTCTTCTTGGACTGTGCATTACACATTAAGAAGACAGGCGCCTGCAAATTGGAGTATACAGGAAACCCCCACAAAGACACTATAATTTACTAGCACAAGCTAGGTATAATTAGAACCCTGCACCACTGTGTTGACAACATACCAACAACTGCCCAAGCCCAAGAGAATGAGCACACCTGAAGAGGGCAGTCACAGCCTGTGGATATTCAAACTGGACCATTGTAAAAACAACCACAAGATCCAGGAAGAACACCAACAATATAGGTGATAAGAAAAAAAAGAGTAAATGCAACGCCATGATTCCATGTGTGTCTGGAGTGTTACACTGTGGAAGAGACACGTGTTTTAGTTCTGTATGTCACTTTGCCGTGTGGTGGAATGTCCGTCTAAAAATAAATTGAGTCATTTCTGTTGGCCTAATTCAGCTGCAGCTACAAGTCTAATACTCTTTGGCAGACAGCCAAGGGTAATCCACTAATTTCCCAACCGTGTGTTAAGTATCTGCTGTACAAAGGGCTGGACAACCTCTTAGTAAGATAAGTGACATGAGTTACATACTATGCTGATAGAGAAAGGGGATAACAAGCATTATGCTATTACTGAATCAGAACATCGCAGCCTCTCAGCTCATGTTATGTTCAGTACCCCTCATCTTTTATGGCTTTTGATTGGACTGCAGAGGACTTGTATGTGAGTGCTTCTTATAATGTACAACTTTTTGTCTGCCTGCATCTTAATTTAAAAGGTAACTCTAGCCGCCATCATGTTGATCACACAGGTATTGGAGGCAGAGCACCCATTAATGTTTCAGGAGTACCAGCTGGGAGACTTTCCACTGACCATGGCTCCGCCCCTTTTGAGTTGTACACAGAAAGGGGTGGTGATGGGGTGGTGATGGGGGGGTGGATAAGACACAAACCCTTTGGTGTGAGACACCCGGGTTCGAATCCACTAAGACACCAATGTGTATCTGAGCTAGACAATTAATGCCTAGTCGCTCCAGAGGTGTGTGACCTCTGAGATATATAGCAATTGTAAGTCGCTTTGGATAAAAATGTAAATGAAACTATAGACTGTATATAAAAAGGCTGAAATTGATGTTTGAGTCACATGTACGGTACTTTACATGTATGCTGTGGAAGTACACTGTTGCAATGTATTACAATCTACTTTTGACCTTTGCACATAGTGTTTGCAATACTACAGACTTTAAATAAGGATATTAATTTATCTTGTGACAATCTTTCCAAATGCAAGAAAACTGAGTTGCATTTATGATCATCTAATTCTAAACTGCACTTTATCAATGTGATCCTTTGTAGAATAGCAATCTGAAATGGCACCTATAATAACAAAAAATGTTTTCTGTTTTGAAAAGTGCTAAAAAGAGAAATAGTTAACCCTGGATTTCTTAGGCGTTTATGGCATTTAAATTGTCCTTCTTAAAAAAAGTCAACAAACACTAACATGTTCAGACAAAAATACTGGGCCTCGTTCCTCAAACGTGGATAACAGAGTGTAATAGTGTAATATCACAATTCAATTTTCCTAATGAAAGAGTTAGAGTCAGTGAAAGAGGCCTGAGGGAGGGTGAGGGCGTAGGATGAACGACTGACAAAATTAATCCTGTTAATGTAGTAGTTTTATATGTGTTTATTTATCTAATTTTTAAATTCTCTCTTTTTGTTCTTCTAGTTTTCTTCCCTTAGTTTGTTCTCTAGTTTTCTAGCATGAGGATTGCTCTTTATTTACCTCACCCATTGATGCATTCAAGATTTTATGCCGCTGTTATGTTTTATGTTCTAATGTGGACTGTATCCAATAATAACCTGCAATAAAAATATAAAAAACAACAACATATAAGCCTACAACAGTATAAAAGTTTTTACACTAAAAAA